CGCCTTCGACATCCACAAACCTCGCAAAATCTTCAAAACCCAGCATCCCATCCCCATCCGAATCCGACGACTCCACAACGGCCGCCGCGTCCTCGAACGTCAGCCCCTCTCCCGCGCTCCTCATGCAGCTGACCAGCTCGGCCGGAGATATCTTACCGTCTCCATCTGAATCGAAATAACCAAAAACGCGTTCCAAATCCAAAGATATCATTTTTATTATTATTGTTGTTGTTGTTGTTGTTATTTTGCAAGTTTAGTGATATCCTTTCTGGTGCAGGAGCATATATATATATAGGTGATTGATAGCAAGAGCAAGAGAAATGTCTTGGAAGAGGAAGGGAAGGGCAGAGGATGGTGGCGGAGGGGGAAAAAAGGTGGTAATTAGTTCATTTTCAAGGGGGGTAATGTGTAAATAGTTTGCAATAAGTTTGAAGAAATTGAAAGGAGTGGCGTAGGGGCGGCGGTAACGGTCAACCGTCCGTGGAAGATACGCGCCAAGCTGGTGGAGGGAAGCATTTTATGTGCACCGACGACAAGACTAGAGTTTGAAACGTCGAAGCGGACGCGGGATGGTTTACGGCAGGGGTTAAAGTGGGTGGCTTTAAAAATGTGTGCCTCGTGTTTCACTCGTATTAGTCATCTAATACGCACACAGATTAGTGCATAATTATAGATTTTTTATTATTATTATTATCTTGTGTCAATCACTCGGCTTACCAGATAAGATAAAGCCTCAACTTTGTTTTGGTCTTCTTTCGTTTGTCTTTTCTTGAGCAAGCCGAGTACTTGTGAGCTCTAATAAGGATATTAGCAAAAAAATTTGTTTTTTTATTTTAAATCCCTTATCTTATTCTATGTAAATTTAAGAATTTGTGCATTGAAATTTGTTGCTCAAGCATTTGTGGAGCCCAAAACCATCCATAACTTAAGTAATCAAACAGCTTCAATATTGTAAAAGTAGATAAACCAGGGTTAATTGCATCAGCAGTCACTATATCTATCTTATAATTAGATGTTCATACATGTGTTTCAATTGCTTGGATGACCAGTTATGTAAGTAAATAATAATTGCATCATTAGTCACTTTTAACATTTTCGTCAATTTGAGTTGTATATTTTCATTTATTTATAAACAATATGACTTACTTAATACGTCCCGAGTTAATGTTTTAAAGAATAAAATGTCAAATGCAACATAATTACTCAATATAAGTTGCCCGATATGTCACAAATTTTATTTAGTGATCAAGGTATTATGCGTAGGAATTAATCTGTTGTGTCAAATGATCAACACTTTTTGACATCACGTCAATGAATATTCGTTATGTTAATTGAAGGGGAAAAATTAGAAATGGTTAACGATCCAATTAGTATCTAAGTATATGACCAGCGTTATGGTGTTCACTCACCCAAGAAACAGATATTTGCAAAATGATACGATTAGAGCCCTAGCAAAACAAACTCAACCCTTTGGCCGACTCCCACAGTCGTCTCTCGGCCTTAGGGGAAGGAAACCCTAGTCAACTCTCAAGAGTTCTAGGCATTCGACTCCTCAGTCGGATAACAAGCCTTTGACTCTTTATCAAGGTAAGTCCAATGTACGACATATGGTCAAATCCTCCAGTGCTACTTGACCATCATGGCTAATTATAAGACTTTGGTACCTTATCAAGGATAAACCCAAGGCACAATCACAGAGGTCTCGGTCCCACCGACTCATCAAGCTGACACTCTGGTGTCTACACCAGAGGCGATATTGGTCGGCACGAGAGATCCTGACCTCCCAGACGAGTCGATATTTTTATATCGACTCGAGAGATGGTTATTAGCTGAGATGAGACGACATTCCAACCAATCTGACAGGCCGACACTCCTAAGTCGACGCGAAAGGCGGTGTCGGTCGACCCTATCATCGAGGACGATCCTACTTAGGGCACTCGACCACTCACTGGCCATTTCTCAGAAACGACTAGAGGGACATTCCCTGCTACCGATTAAGTTGAGAACTCGGCCCAGCCCCAAGCCTCTATCTCAGAACATATGTTAACATCTTAGTCCACCTCGGACAAGCCTTATCTAGACTTTGGCTTGATAAGGTGTTCATGACTTGTCAGTTCAATCAGTTCCCAAAAAATACGGAGACACATTCTCCCATAATGAAATGACTTCCCCTCCAGTCGTCAGCCGATAACTGCAAGGCGAGAGATGATTCAGCATGCCAGCATGCCTTCTGCCACGCTCTCAATCGCTTCTCAGAAAATACGGAGACATCATCTCCCATAATGAAATGACTTCCTCTCCAGTCGCCAGCCGAGACCTGTAAAGCAAGGGATGACTGGGCTCTTAGCCTGCACTCCAACACCGTTTCCCGAGGATAGGCTATAGAGAACCTAGAGGATCCAAATCAGGGGATCATCTAAAAAAAGAGAGAGGTAAAGACTTCCTCCTCCTGGGCTAAATCTAGGGTATCATCATCTCTAATGCATATTGCCACCTTAAGAACCACATCGGTTCTTAACCTTCCCCTTCCCCACTCGAGTTTCACTAACTTGACCATCGGAGGAACCATAGGGGAACCAGTTCCCGCCCTCTCATGGGTTCTTCTTGTCCGTGCAGCGTGGACATCAAGCCCTCGTTCAAGAACCAAACATAAAGTCGAAGAAGGGAACGGACCCTCCATCATTCTTCATCATCTCGCAACCATCCTCTTCTGGATTATTCTGTTTGATATTGAGCATCAACAAGGTAACATTGTATCTTTCTCTTGTGATTTAATCCTCAAGTTCAGGTGTAACTTAGAGGGATTGTATTCTTGATTCATAGTGAAATATTTGTCTGTGAATTGTCCCATGGACGTAGGCATGATTTGCCGAACCACGTTAAATATTGGTGTTTGCTTTCTTGTGGGATTTTCATTGGCGTCATATTTCGTTTAGCATTTAATTTCGTAGATTAATCTTCATAAAATCTCTAACACATTTACACATCTGTAGTGAGCAAACTTTGTTTTCATAAGATATTTAAAATTTAAGAGGGTTTTGGTGTGAAATAGTCCCATATGACTTTTTTTCAAAATTCCACAGAGTTTTTTGAGATAAATATAGTGACCAATGATCCAATTAACCCAATAAATTGAGTCACTGCTAACCGCAAAGAATCAACATTTGATAGGAATTAAATAAAACCAATTCACAGGTTAAAAGAGAAGAATGACAAATTATGCAGATTAATGAAAAAAACTACCCAGAAAAATGTTTGTATTCGTCCAACTGAGATACAAGGGTCATCCACATTATATACACCTACCCATACATCATATTTGCAGAGAACAGAAATTAAAAATTATTGAATTCAACACAAATTAACAAATGCTCTTCTAATTCTTCAATGTGTTAATTTCTCCGATTAACACCAAAACAATATGTTAGAATCAATGAACCAACAAATTCTATTTAATTACATCATCATCATATTCCTAAACTCATCAAAGCTAATAACCCCATCTCCATTCTCATCAAATCTCCTTATCATAACCTCACACTCCTTCAAACTCCTCGGATCCCCTAATTCCCTTAATGCCCTCCTCAAACTCTTCGCGGTAATGCAACCCTCTCCCTTCATTTCATACACTTCAAATGCCTCCTTCAGGCTCCTCCCCTTCTCCTCCTCCTCCTTAACGTCCACCAACGCGACGAAATCGTCGAATCCTAGCAGCCCATCGCCATCGGAGTCGGCAGACCGCACAATTTCCTCAGCCACCTCCAGCGAGACCTCCTCTCTGAGGACGTTCATACAGTCTCGAAGCTCCTCAGGCGATATCTTGCCGTCGCCGTTCTCGTCGAAGTAACGAAACACGCAGTCGAACTCATTGTTTTGAGAACAGAAAGAGCGAGCAACGGGAGATGGCTCAATATTTTCCTTCTCCTCCTCCTTCCTCTTCTTCCTCTTTAGTGCAGAACTTAGCTTGTTGATGAACGTGGGCACTCCTCTATCTTGATCATAAGCTTCATTGGGAATTGCCATGTTGAGGAATTATTCAAACTGTGGTGAGGTTGAGGGTGTTATATAGGTTTGGAGAATTTAGTTGCGTTGGCGGTTGAGGGAAAGTTCATGGAGATTTCAAAAGGAGGAAGTTGAGGGGGTTAAGTAAAGGTATAAATAAATATATTAATGATAGGTAACAATTAATCAAGATAGACGTTGACATGTACATTGATCAATGCCGTGTTGGGGTTTATTTTGTAAGATGTCGACGCTCGGGACGCGGGTGAGTACAGATGTGTACAGTTTGGGGTTGGGCTCTTTACTATTATTTTGTTTTTATGTGTACATGGGAAAGGATATGTTCGATATGCATGCACCATGCATCATGGGGCTGACAAGGGGGCTGCATCATCGTTCCAGCAAAGCACGCTGTATTCCGCTTTTTTTTTAATCGAATTTCTGGGGAAATGGATGCAAGATGTGTTACGATTGTGTATTCTTTGTATAACTTTATAAGAATTAGATAGGGTTATAGATCTATCATGATTAGCAGATTGAATCTTATTCTAATTAAGAAATTAGGCTAGAGATAGGGTTTTGGTTTTCTTATATATATTCTTCTATTGTTGAAGGAAAAATTGATGATAGTAAAGAGAAGGAGAGAGATAATATTCTTGTAATCAGAGTTTTAGAGGGTGTAATCGGGTTCAATGGTATTGTGAGAGAGAGAGGGGGTTCGACAGTCTTTGTCCGTGCAAAAGATTGTAATTTGGAGGTAATAGTGGATTGATTTTGATCCTGTGGTTTTTCCGTGTTGAGGGTTTTCCGCGTTAACTCTCGTGTGATTCTATTTGCTGCGTTTGATGGTTTTCAGGGTTTTTGCGAGATCTAAAAATCCAAACAAGATGATAGTTTGGATTTCAATTCTTCCACAGGACAAAGGGATTTTTGAACTTCCATTTAAGAGAGAGAAATTACGTAGAGGTCTCTATATAAAAAACATAAAGATAGATCATGAAATGTGTTCCATTCTTAATTCGAAATGAGTACAATATGCATACATTATCGAAGAAGTCGTTATCAATACAATCGTCAATACTATGTTCGTGCGATCATCGATATTGTATCATCAATCATCAACTTTATGATACGTGTTGAACACTTGCTGTGAATCTTAAAGTCTCTATAACCATTAGAGCAAAAACTCAAAGTTGTGGTGAGAGTTAATGATTGTATTTTTGTACCGGATCGAGCCTCATTTTCATAGGCTGAAACCTAGACTCACTTAGTAGTGTCAATTTTTGAAAAATCTGTTTTAAATTCGTGGTTAGTGGATTTGAAGACGGATTGCTCTAATACAATCTTAAAGACCCTCTAACCATTGCATCAAAACTTCTTAACCGTGGTGAGGGTTTAGGATTATGTTCTAACAGTGAACACATTCCTCTTTGACCCGGAAATTTCTTTCTCCTTTCATAGTATTAATTTTCATTGTTAAAGCGTTCGTAATCTTTCTAGGACTTACTAAAAAAAACTTTTCAGTTAGCTATACAACTTTCATTCTGACTCGTTTACAAATAAAATAAAAAAAAATCACCAAATCAAGAGATTTCTGGTGCACTCTTCAAGTAGCCGCGTACATCTCACTGCCAAATAGCGCCGATTTTGTGGTCATGAAACGAGTGGACAAACGCTGTTAAATTGGATATATTTTTTTTAGTATATTTAGATATTAAGTGACTGAAAATATCAACGACTGGTCTAGATGCGTGAAGCGCCCAAGGATTAATTCATCTTGTAGCTATCAATGTATAGCTCTCGCGCAAATTGCGTAACGTGTCAGCAGAGGTCCGTGCGCGCTCAAGAATAAATAATAATACATTTGCTGGGGGGAAAAAAAAAATTAGTGGGGACTGAACACTAGTCCCAAGCGTGAGATGAGGTCCATCTTCTTAACTTTCTATTTCTAATTTTGGACGCAGCGTACAAACTACTTTTGACTTCCGCTTCAAGATTCGACGACGAGAAGAATATTAACCTTGGTCTCTGTCCAGAAACTCGGAAGAGAAGACGTAGCGTCCAGTGACATGCGTCAACCGAACAAAATAGGGGGCAGAATTTGTAATTCCACTCCCCGTTGGAGGGCTCAGAAACAGTCGAGCATGCGACGACCGGTTCTAATAGGATACAAAATTTCTAGTTTCTACTACGAAAAGAGGGGCCTTTTTTCTCTTTTGCATAAATTTTGTTCAAAGCTCCCAATCTTGCACTCCACAGCTATTACGATAAACATAGGTCTGCAGCAATATTCTTCCATCCGAACATAAAGCGTTATTTGGACATCGAACGTCTAAAGATAAACGAAATAACTTTACATCAGATTAAATAAAATACACAGTACAAAAGTGTAGCACTTTATAGAATTCCAAAAAAAACAACACGAACAACTGAAACAAAGGAGAGAATAACATTGTCTGGGGATGTTCAATTTCTATAAAGTTCAGGATGATACTACATCGACTCAAATTCTAAACTCCTACCTCATGAATTGTTATCAAAATTTATGAGAAATCTTGAAGCAGAGAGCACAAATTCACGTGTCCCCATCTGAGCAAAATTTTACAGTAATAAAAAGATATCATAAGGGAAATGTCCACAAAAAATTTAAATAAAATGCCAATAAAAAAAATCTAAGCCCTAGAAGGAAAGGAGCCCCACTTCATAAGTTATTATACCTACTCTTTCTTGAGGGACAAACCGAAGCCCTGCTTCGTAAGTTATTATACCTACTCATTCCTGAGGGACAAACCGAAGCACCTCAATCTCTCCATGATGGTCCAGATCCTATCCGAGATGTTGGAATAGAGCCACCTTTGTTGTGTCTCGTTGAGACCATCAGGGCAAAGGTTGGGCCACCCAAGACTGCAAAATGGTGCTTCCTGAGATACAGTCATGGCTTTTTGCCTCAAGGTTCGAAGGTCGAACTGTATTGGTTCACCAATAATAATTTTAATTTCCTTGTTGAACAAAGGGACCGGTGGTCTTCTGCCAAAAAATGAATGCTCAGGCATCACCTGAAAGTAAGAAATGCAATCAATCAGTTAAGAATGAAGATCAATCAGTTAAGAATGAAGAAAATGCTTGAATGCATCAGCAAAAAGAGTATTAAGAACCGGAAACAACAAGCTGTTCAATAGGGAAAAATTATAATGTACTTGACATCAAGGTGTACGCAAGTGATCTATCAATCAATATACAGAACAGTTGATTATTGAAGAATATGAGAGACAAATATGATTATGCTGACTAGAAGAGAAAAATATTATAATTTCTGGCTGTTTCGAGACTCTTTCTGGATATTCCTAACAATGCGTTAATGCCTGAGGTGGAATAGCATAAATGAGCAGAAAACAGCGGAATGAAAAGATGCGACAATTTGTAGATATCATAACACCAAGTCAGTTCAGAGTTAAGGTCGACTTACTTATATGTACTACAGTTGAATATTTTGATAACCAGAAAACAGAGAATGGCAACATATTGTGTATTCAAAACAATCACACTATAATAGTTGACATAAACAATACAATCCAGTTACTAAACTAGAATGATAGGCTGCTATAATTTAGAATAATGACAATCTTACAAAGATGCAGGCCAAGAAGCAGAAGAAATTATTACTAAGATTTAAAAAATACATGAAAGCAAGGCTCCAACATGGGGAGCTAAGAATCTGAATAAAAAGTCACCGCCATGTGGATCAAACAGTGGTGCCTCACCAGCACTTCAATTTGCATCACAATGAGCGCCTCGTATATATATTAGTAACCGTACTGGAAAAGAGAATATACAGACGTGCACACGCGCACATGCCTACGCAGTTCCACTATTGGTATTTCACATGCTAACATCTGAATTCTGAAGCACAATTATGCTTTTCCAATGATTGGATATGTGGTAATCATAGAAGTCCTGGAATCAAATATTTGTAATAGAAATTCTGATTGCTACCTTTTGATATCCATCTTAAGCATTAACAATTTTATGTAAAACATTTAAAAAAATCCAAACAAAGAAATCTCGATTTCAAATTTCTAAAATTGAAATATCAAAAGGAATGTTAAAAATGTTGAGTACTAGAAGAGTAGTGATAGCTAGGTAACAAATGTCAGATTATTTTTATAATACTATACACAAAAGTGTTAAGTCTTTGACGGTTCATCGATTTTAAATGCAATCCAAGAGAAAGGAGCCCCACTTTTGGTTTCTCGATAGTTCAAAAATATTATAGCATATTAGCATTTCATTTGTAGTCTAGTTAGTATTACCCTAACTAGATTTTTCTCAAATTAAAACCATTATAAAACAATGAAGGAGCAAACTTTGCCATATCTTAAACAAAAAAGACTACTATCACTGGGAACTTAACTAGCATGGTATAATGACATGTATATGTATAAATAAAGTGAAGATGGAACAGTTATATCTTGATCAAACAAAAGCACAGTAGTCACATGATAATTCGTATATAGCCAGTTAACCTTGTATGTATATATGGAGCCCAAATGAACAAAGTACAGGTGACACATGACTTAACCTAGAAGCAAGAAGGAAAACAAAAGAAAGTATGGCAGAGGAACACATTTAGACAAACCTTTTCAAACCCACAGTGAACTATTGGTAGGACCATTGGAGTAACGGCAGCACGTGCAATAAGACTGGCAGTTCCCCACTTTAGCCGTCTAATAGGTGCATTCACTTGTGAAACTTTTCCCTCTGGAAATGTATGCAACTACACCTTCCATGGTAATAATCAGTATGATAAACAAATTCATAGCTACTGCTACTTATAACGTAATTGCATAAAGTACGATACAGAAATAAGTATGACATAAGGCTACAGACACAGCAAAGCAACAAGACGCATTACCCAGCCTCCATCTCTTAAGACTTCTAAAGCTTCATTCATATGTTCTTGATAAATTCCACCACCTCTTGTAATTGGTATGCATTTTCCTGTGCACTTCTAATTTCTTAGAAAACAAACCTGGACCACAAGAATACCTAAGGACAGATTCTCGTGTGTTTTTTAACAAGATAAAACTAAAAATATATTGCATAAGCTCAGCAATCAACAGAAAAAATGTGTTTTTTTTTTTTTTTTTTTTTTGGGGGGGGGGGTTGTCGCGGGGGGGCTTGGGGGGGAATAATTCTGACCATATGGAAAACCACAGCACAGTGATAAATTGAAAACAACATATAAAGTAAATCCTAGATATAAATCTCAGCATGGAATCCGAATTCTGAGCAGTTGAAAGACCAAAATAATCTACTTCCTCTGCACAGGTGGCTGCAGTTAGTACTTCATTTACGGATACATTAAAAACTGATTAATGCTTTATAAGTTTAATTTGTTATCAATGAATATTCAAGCAACTTGTTGAAGATATTTGGAGGGAACCGTTAGCACATCCATAAATACCAACTATATGACCCATCAATCACACATCCGAGACAAAAAGAAATAGAGAGAAAGATACATTTGTAGGGGGCACTGGTGAGTTGTTTTGTTTTTGTGTGATTTCCAAGAGCTTTTTATATTCTTTACATAGAGGCTTTCATAACTATCCTTCACCTCCTAAGGAAACTGCCTCTGATTTTTCTTCAAACTCTTCTAGGTCTAGCCTATAACCCAGCAATCCATATCTCCAAAAGATCTCAATTTGTTGGAAATTGAATATTGAGTGATTTGATTAATGTTTGAATAAGTCAAAATAACATCTCCCACTTGACCAAATTAACCACGTGATGTGCCTCCCACTGTTTGTGAGAGCAAATGTTTCTTCTTACTTCCACTGTCCATTAGAGTAACTCTTATTTTATTACTCATGAAATTTACTTAGTTATTTCTATCCATCAAACTTACTTGTTTGATAAAAAAAATTCTAATGGTATTCCCTTTCTCAAGGGAACAACAATCATATCCGTAGTAGGGATGTAAGTCACTTTAACTTCACCCTTATCTACAATATCTCGAATGTACTGATACTAATCTCAATGTGTTTTCCTTGTGAACTATTCTTACCATTATTAATCAAGCTAATTGATGCCTGATTATCACAATAAATATCAATAGGTTCTAACTAATTGAGATCTAAATCAATCAAAAAGTGTTTTATCCCGACAATATGTGTAGTTGTCATAATGCAAGCTACATATCTTGCTTCAAGTGTGTATCTCGCAACACTCCCATGTTTCTTACTACTTTTAAGAAACAACTCTTCCTCCAACGATGAACAAGTGTCCTAAAATGGACTTTCCATCATCTTTATCACATTCAAATCAGCATCGGAGTAATCAAGGATATCAAGTGACTAGCTTGATAAACCAATCTGTGCGTCAATCTACGTCTAATATGCTTCACAATCATTTTAACATCTTCCCAATAATTTGGACTCATATGACTTTGATATCCATTTTAACATCTTCCCAATAATTTGGACTCATATGACTTTGATATCTACTAACCAGACTTACATCACATGCTAAATCAGGTTCGGTACTAAACATTGCATACATCAAGTTTCTAAATGCTTGAGCATAAGGAACATCGAATGGCTTCAGGCGCTCTCCAAGGCTTTGCACTTTACACTATCGTTTTCCATGACCAATGGAGTTGGTGCTAGATTGAAATTCTCAATTCCAAGGCTTTTAAGAATTGTTATTAAATATTATTCCTAATTTAAACTCAACATTCTAGACTTGCTCTTTCGGATTATTTGAATTCCAAGAATATATGATGCATCTCTCATGTCTTTCATCTCAAAAAATTTCATTGAGATCCAACTTGGTCTTGTTCAACATTTGCATGTCATTTCCAACGAGCAATATATCATTCACACACAAAGATAATACAATAAATTTGCTCCTATGACATATAACGACAATTATCTAATTTGTTCTAAACAAAACCAAGATTGGTGATCACGTCATGAAATTTGAGATACCACTATCTAGAACATTGTTCTAAATCAAATAGAGATTTTATTAATTTGTAAACTTTATACTACTGTCATTTCACATGAAAACCTTCAACTTGTTGCATTTTTAGATTTGAAGTTATTCCCAATGTATGTTAGTTTGGCTCATTCAAACATTAATTAAATCATCCAATATTCAACTTTTAACAATCTGAGATTTTTTAGAAATATGGTTTGTTAGGTTACTGGTTAGAAAATGTGGAGGAAAATTAGAGGTGGTTTCCTCAGGAGGGTGGACGGGAATTGTGAAAGCCTTAATATAAAGAGCAGAAAAGGCTCTTAAAAATAACATAGAAATAAAATAACTTACCATAACCTCCAAAAATACATCTTTCCCTCTATCTCTTTTCGTCTCGATCTCATTGTCTAAACCTTTATCTATAAAAAAATAATGCTTTCTCCGACTATGATTTACAACTTATATAAAAAGTAAGAGATGTATATAACTCGTAATATTCTAGAGAGGACATTAGCTAGTTTGCTTTTCTAGTTGGTCGTTTATGCATCAAAAAACTTGTAGAAGACATTGGATGCTTCTTGCAATAGTAATTTCATCAAGGAACACACATGTGACCATGCTCAGAAAAATAAAAAATAAATTGCATTTTATTGTCCAAAAACAAGAAAGTGTGTTTTCCATTTTTCCCTTTAAAATTTATTAACAATTTGGAAGTTGCACTTAGGGGATAACTAATAGTAATTTTCTACATTCATACTTCTGGCAGCATGAATTTCCTCACACAGTTAGCAATCTAGCAGGAGTTTCATGCTTAATCACGCCCAAAGTCTTATAAGATATTAATCAATAAAAGCAATAATAAGAAACTTGAATGTGTCATATCATATCCACCCCTTGCAATAGTGAAACAGAAAAGTAGTCATTTATTCTAACAACAGCAGCAATTCTTTGTACTAATCATTGCTTTGCAATCTGCACCAACCTCGCAAGCAAATAACCCCTTTAATTTTCTTTATATCAGACCCATCTAAAGGCAGTCCATCTATGCTTGACATTTATTTCAGAGGATGGGAGTATATTACTTAGAAATTGAATTAGTTAAGTCCCTTTGGAAATGAAGGCTCAAATAAAATTAAATTAGATAATCATGCCAAGCCAGATGTGATTAAGTTTTTTTCTTTTGGAAGCAACTACTGAAATTGTTTCTACAATAACTGCTAAATAAGGGATTACTCGATAGAGTTGTATATTTCATGAGGAGATCAGTTGTACTTTCTCCATGGAAAGAAAAGAAAATGCTAGCTTCTACACTTACTTTTACCTAAAACACCATCATAATTATTTATTATATTTACCATCTATATCCTCTCACACTTTTTGACCATTAAACTTATTTTTGCATAATTTAGTTGTACACACATTTGGCTATTTTCTTACACTAACATTGTTTGCCAACCCAATGGAAAGATTTGGCTTAGTTCTTATGAAAGATAGATGAACAAAAAATGTAGAATAACTAAAATATTTCAGAATCTTAAACAACCTACACGCGTAAACAGGCAGTTCGTTAATTAAACATATAAAAGGGAGAAATATTGATTATATGCCTTTGAGAAGTATTACCCAGACGAAATAAGTATGAGAAAATGGTATTCTTGAAGCATATATCCTCTGCTGCTAGCACCCACCTTGCTAGGTTTGCATCCCCAGTGGGAAAACCCTTGAATCCCCACATAAGTGGATCATCCAACCTGTTTTACAATGTAAAATTTGAGATAGAACTTTCCTTACAAATATAGAACGCATAGTTCATGCAAAATAATAATAAATATCAAGAACATACAAAATGCACAGCTGCTAAACAATCCAAGTCTCACCATCTAAATGCACAATTGTTGATTCTCTTTTATCAAGATGATCTTCAATACATGTATGACACAATGCCTTCTCAGATTAGATTCACTGGATAGATGACATGTTATGATAGAGCAATTCCATTCCCTGATATCAACCTACTTCCTAGGTCCCATTGATTCCTTTGCTCAGCAACGAGCTCTGATATTTCACAGAAAGATGGTAAATGGAAAGCATAAACTACACATATGACGCCATTGCAGCCAACAAATGGACATGCAAATCAAGTAGTAAAGCAAGAAAGTAACAGTATTTTCTTTTTCTTAGAGGTGAACTGTAAAAGAAGCTAGATAAACTGTCAACTGATAGGCAGTAACTGGCTACTCTCGGTCGCATAAAAAGAGCAAGAAGCCTACAAACTCTAGATTTACTGAAACCTTTATTTTGTTTTGACATTTAGAATGAAAATTCTGGGCTGCAGTAAGGGTATTCTAGAGCATCAGTATGAACGACCTCAATAACAAAACGGGAGGAGATCAACACGATTAAAAAAGTGAACTTTTGAAAGTTTGCCAACTTTATGATACATCCATCAAACACTTGCACCATATCCAGAAAGCAGTTAGGTAATTCTTTTCCCAGTCAATCTAGATCCCATTGAACCTATGAAACTTAATAAGTGGATGGGTACTTTGTAACCATGTGCAAACACGTCTCTGAACCAGTATACACATGTAGCCAGAGACACATAACAAGAAAACAATTTCCTGCTTCTTTTTTCTTTCCAAAGGAAGGGGTAGGAGATAGATATGGGCACTATTACACGAGCAATATTTATTTTCAACTACACACCATCTAATCTTCTTAGGTAATAGGATAACGTTCTTCCCATGTTCAAAGAGAAAATGGCTCCAAATCCTTGAACTAGGGCCTCATGCCAGATTGTTCAGAAACATCACAAACAAATTTGCCGTGCGGGCCACTTTAAGCTCTATGGAAACACTTAAAGAATGCAACATGCTTTAGTCAAAAGAACTACACTATCCAATAATTCATTAACTTCAGAAAATTCAATGAAAAATCTCCCATATGCCTCTCATCAATTTGTACATTAGCAAAAAGAAAAATCATTACATCCTAAAGTGTAAAAGACCTAGGAAAACTCAACCGGAAAGCTAGTTACCATAGGTAGGGAGCCCAAATTTTCTTATAAACCGACAATTTCTTCCCCGCTCAGTCAATGTGGGACTGAAGGGACCCTAGCATGCCCACATAATTTGCAGTCCCGAGGACTAGTTTTGCACTAGTCTAGTACGAAACAAACACTGCAATCCTAGAGTTACCTCTTTGGGTTTGCACTAGACTTGTCCCAGGCGAATGCTACAGAGACAGTGTCACCGCCTGCGACCTTCACTTGCAATACCATTTGTAAGAGAACACAAATCTCTTATAAACCCACAATTTGACTTCCAATCAATTCAAACAGGTGAGAAATACCATGATAGCTACAATCAGTACAATCCATTCTACAATACCAGTCATCATTTTAAGCCATGAGCCCCAACCCTAAACCCAAATCATCAATCAAAATCAATTCAATTTCAAACAATAAACGCCCTAACTATCAAGAACTGAGACTCACGTGGACATGTGGTTGCTGACGGTGATCAGCGGTCGCCCCTGCGCAGCGTCTCGGAGTTGTGGACCTCGGTCGAGTTGAGGACGTTGGTGGCGACCTTAGCGAAGGCGCCGACGGCCATGATCACGATCCTGCGGGGGATCCCTCCGCCGTGATCTGATCTCGCCGCCCACTTCAGCGTCGGGTCCGCTGCTCGAATCGGCCATGATTTTTCCTGCATTGGGGTTTTTTTGCAGCTTTGGGGAGGAGGAGAGGTTAGGGTTTAGTGTCCCGGCGTCTCTTCTCTGTTCTCATACGGGAGGCGGGTGATAATGGGCCGGGTCTTTTCAGATTAATGGGCTGGCCTGGATTCAGCGTGTGGCTCATATTTTATTAGGTAAATCGTATGAAAATGACTTATTGTTTTATGTTTTTTTTTCACTTTGCCGACTCTATTTGTAAAAAAATTCACTTAAATAACCTACAAATTTTACCGTTAAAAAATGCTGACGCTGTTATATATTTCTCATGGAGACGAAGATATCATCATTCTTTAACATTTAATCACACGCTAGTAGAATAAAAAAATTTCAAATTCTTCATTTTCTCCAAAATAATTGCGCATTGGATATCTCAAGTAAGTTTCGATCTCAATTGAGCAGCATATTGACTCCTAGTTGAGAAAAATGTAATTTGTGTAATTTGATTAGGATTTCATCTCAATTTGCGGCTAGGGTTTTGTCTCTAAGATAAAATTCTAAAGTAAAAAACCTCAATTCCTCATTTGGGGCTGGGATTTCTAAGATGTTACTCTTGAACATCTTAGGTTTGCCTTCATGTTTCCTTGCATTGAATTGAGGAGAGAGAATGTAAAAATGTTAGCTTTAGCTAGGTCTAATTTAGGGAGGAAAAAAAATATATCACAATGGTAGTTGGGTGTAAATCAGTGACATAGGATGAGTTAAAAATAACTCTATAAGGTTACATAAGCCCTCTTATGAAAATATTCTCAGCATCTTCCAACAGATCATCAACCTTCTAAACTTTAGGTTATTAGTTGAACTTTTGTAAAACGTTAAACTATTTAAATGAAAAATTTTACAATTGAGACCATTAAAGTGAAATAAATGTGAAACAATAGGTCATTTTTGTGCAATGTACCCTATATCTTAAGCACAGTTATTGATAATCACTTTTTATTACAAATTTATACCCTCATTATCTATTTTATATGAATAAATATACCACTAATAATTGTTTTTATCTTTTAATTGCAGGTTAATGAAGAATAAATCTCAAACTCTCATCTCTCAACAAAAACCCATTGATTAAATGAAGAAATGAAGCAAAGAAGCACATTGGAAAATCAATTTTCAAATTATCCAAAAGCCCAGAATCAAGTCGTGTAGCCTGTAGAAGCCGGAGAAAATCAAAAATCCAATATGAAAAGAAATCATATTCAAAATGGTTGGCCACAAAGAAACGACGATATCTCCTAATCCGGAAGGCGGAATTTAACATATAATATATGAAAATCGCCTATCTCGACGAGACGAAGCTATCCGTGAAATCAGAATTTGGAAATAGTGGACATCGATGTCTCATTCACTGATGTTTACTATAAATAGGGGTAGAGAGTGAGGGGTTAGAGGTGTGAAAATTTTTGTAACTCCTTTTGGAGAGGAGGGCTACTCTTAATTGAGAAGGCCTTCCAAAATTGTAACTTTAGTTGCAATTAATAATAATAATTTTTTCACCACTTTAAATTTTTCTCTTCTTCTCTTTGTTGGATGATGAAGATGAAGATGAAGATGGAGAATTATTTGAAGGTTTGCATTTCCTTTCTTTTTCTCTTTTATTGCTTATTAGTGTAGAGTTATTTCTATGCTTGTAGTTTAGATTTTATTTTCTTGTTAAATAGCCAAGAGGCTAGAACCCTCTTGCCTTAGATTTATTTCATGCTTATAGAATAGATTTATTTTCTTGCATTTAATTCTTGCAATTTTATTTTGTAGTTTAGATTTTGCAATTTATTTTGTAGTTAGATTTTAATTTCTTATACTATTCACCTTGAGGCTAGAACCCTCTTGGGTTTAGTTTTTCTTTTTGTTTATTTTTATTTTGTTTGATTCGCCTTTAGGCTAGAACCCTCTAGGGAATCACCCTTTTTCTAAGAAGTGGGTTCAATTTTAGATTATCCATATCTATAATTGAATCCACCATCTTTAATTTCTTGCATTTTCTTTTATTCTTGAATTTTATTCTTCATTCTTGATTTTTTTTATTTTATTCATTTTTCCTTCTCACCTTATTGATCATACTCAAATCCACTCTCACTTACACTTTGCACTTATTCACACACCAATTTCATTCTCTCAATCTCTTCACAATCACATTCACTTATCACTCCTACTTGTCACGCACACAACATAAGAACCGATTTTATATTTTCTCCTACAAAACACCTTCCTCGTGGGATCGATATCTTAAATACTATAACTTGACACGGTTGTGCACTTGCAACCTTTTTGGTACATGTTTATGCCGCATCAGTTATTTATTACTATTATTATTAAGAACGTAAGTTTGATAATAAAAATAAAAATTAATGTGAGAAGGAATCCGCTACTAAGTGTGAATGGAAACCCTTATCAGTTAAATATGAATTAATGAGTGTTTGAAATTCCTTATGAGTCATGTATGAGTTGCTTAAAACTTCACATACGAGTTGTTAGCTTCGTTTTACATATATCTAATCATTTATCTATCATTTATGTTATAGTTTGGCTACTTTTAATGTGCATCAGTCAGTGCTCATTAACTTAATTGAATGAAAATTGTTTGTATTGTATATTTTGGATTAAATGGTCAAGTTGGATGGACCTTTATTTATTATATTTTATTTCTTAGTTTAAAAAGAAATTGCACATTGTTATATTTGATCCTATATAGTTAACATATGTTGTGTCAATCAGGAAGCAGTTTATTTATGCTCATGTATCTTTTGTTGGTTTCGGATATGGAACAAAATCAACGCAGCATGTAAAACTCTGATCGGTCGACTGTTTGAGAAGCACCAGTCGACCGATGAGATTGTAAGAAAATAGCCTAAAAACACTTGCCTCTGGTCATCGTTGATGCCTTGCATCCAGTCGACCGAGTGCAGAACTAGTCCGACCGATGTCGTTATTTGGATGTTCTGGTTCGGGATGGATACATGTTTATATTATATATATATAATATATATATATATATTATATATATATATATATTATATATATATATAATATATATATATATATGAGAAATTGGAGAACCTTCGGTACAGAGTTGCTTAAAAGCAACTGGTAGTGATGCTGGACCTAATCTTGCATCCCTACATCACACCTCGAAATAGAGCCTCAACCACCATTCGCCAACTCCGTATGTAGTATGATAGGATCACAGATTAAGGCCACATGTCACTACAGTTGCTCTGTAAGCGAAACTTGATCAAGTTTGTCCTTTCTCTCTCTCATCTCTCTTCCGTCGTCGGTCTCTCTCTCTCTCTCTCTCTCTATATATATATATATATATATATATATATATTATGTTATATATATTACATATATTTTATATATATTATATATATAGAGAGATTAATGGGTATCCTTGTCATAGGAGGGGATTTCCTCCTATGACGCCTCTAAAATCATATGATTGAGCGACATTGTGGATGATCCGCTCCGTTGAACTTGATCTACATATTCTAAAACCCCAACACACCAAGTTTGGGGTGAATTCGTCGTCGTTTGACCCTCCATCGAGCCATGTGAAAAGTTCTATTCATTCAAAATCGTTAAAATTGATACGAGTGGATGAAGGGTCAAACGACGACGGATTCACCCCAAACTTGGTGTGTTGGGGTTTTAGAATATGTAGATCAACTTCAACGGAGCGGATCATTCATAATGTCGCTCAATCATGTGATTTTAGAGGCGTCAAGGAGGAAATCTCCTCCTATGACAAGGATACCCATTAATCTCTCTCTCTCTCTATATATATATATATATATATATATATAACCTTAAAAGTTTTTAGGGTTAATTGTACACAAAAAATAGAGAGTTTTGAGAGCACTTTGAGATCAGAGATCTTAGAGAGAGTGTGACCTATTGTGGGCATTGTAATCTTCTTCAATTAATCAAAGAATTTCTGGTATAGCTCTCGAGAACGTAGGCACGTTTACTGAACCTCGTTAAATCTGGTGTTCTCCTATTTTAATTGTTCTTTCCTGTAAGTTATTCTTTTATTTATTATGATTTCTTGCTTGCTTACTTTTGACATAAGATCCGGAAGGGCACATGTTGTTGTTTGTGTATTCAACCCCAACAAATGATATCAGAGCTTCGTTCGGCAAAAGTTTGTGTTTTGAAAGAGATGTTAGAAGAAAACAAATCAACGATTGAGAAGTTTGACAGATCATACTTTGCCTATTGGAAGACTCAGATGGAGGACTATCTGTACCAGAATGATCTTTATCGTCTGTTGATGGGAAAAGCTAAAGGAAAGAAGAAAGAGGAATCATACAAGGACTTGGAAATACTAAATCGGAAGGCTCTAGGGCAGATCCAGTTGTCGCTCGCCAAATAAGTCACACGCAATATATTGAAGGAGAAGACAATGATGGGGTTTATGGAAGCGCTCACGAAAACATACGAGCAACCGTCAACCGCAAATAAGGTGCATCTCGTCAAGACACTCTTCAACCTTAAGATGACAGAAGGGTATTTCCTTCACGTTGCATCTCAGCGAGTTCAACACGATCGCTGATCAACTTATCTCCGTCGACATCACATTAATTTGATAAAGAAGTGCAAGCCCTATTGATTCTATCGTAGTTACCGGATAGTTAGGTAGGTTGCATGACAGCAAATAACAACTCGGCGGGGAGAAGAAGTTGAACCTGAGTGAAGTTGTTAGTATGATTCTATCCGAGGAGGTTAGAAGGAAGTTATCTGAATCAGAAGGTTCAAGTTTAGCCCTAAATCTTGAGCAGAGAGTCCAAAGCCGTAATAAGGGTAACCAGAATAGGAATCAGTCAAAGTCGAAGAAGAAGAGGTTGAACTCGAAGGTTAGATCTATCAAAGGAAAGTGTTGAAACTGCGGCCAGGAGGGCCACATGTTTTCAGTCTGCAAAGCTCAAAAGAAGGATGCGAACGAGCAGGAGGCTCATATCATGCAAGATGTTTTGATCATTGCTATGGACAACAACACTGATTCTTAGGTTATTAACTCAGGAGCCTCATTTCACACCACTGCTAATAGGAAGATTCTTCAGAACTATGTAGCATGAGACTTTGGGAAAGTGTACTTAGGGGACAACGAGCCTTGGAATATTGTTGGAAAAGACGATGTGCAGATTTAGATGAAGGACTTTAAGTGGAATCAGAAGAACGACAGACACGTACAGAAACTGAAGATGAATATTTTTTTGGTGGCCAGCTTGGAGCGAAAGGTTATGTTTTAACATTCACCGAGGATTCATGAAAGATTTCCAACGGTACTATGGTGGTTGCCCGCGGCAACAAAACATGAACTCTCTACCTCACTTAACATGCGAGTGACACACTCGTAATTGTAGCTGGCAAGGAAAGTACAGATCTGTGGCACATTAGGCTGGGACATATGAGTGAGAAGGGTATGAAGATTTTACACTCACAGGGAAAGATAACCTGCATTGATTCAGTTAAAGTTGGTGTTTGTGAGGATTGCATCTACAGGAAGTAGAAGAGGGTCAAATTCCAGAAGAGTGGAAGACCACCTAAAGCTCAGAAGCTAGAGCTTGTCCATACAGATGTTTGGGGTCCAACTAGCGTGTCTTCTCTTGGCGGTTCGGTGTACTATATCACCTTTATTGACGATCACTCGAGGAAGGTGTGGGATACTTCATGAAGCACAAGTTAGAGGTGTTCATGATATTCAAGAAGTGAAAAGGCATGATAGAGAACGAGACAAATCTGAAAGTGAAGTATCTGAGATCGGACAATGATGGAGAATACGAGCTAGAGGAGTTTAAGAAGTTTTGTGGCCTGAACGTGATTCGTTTAGAGAAGAGTACTCCAGTGACACCGCAACAGAATGATGTTGCAGAGAGGATGAACATGACGTTGACAGAGCGTGCGAGGAGCATGCGTTTACATGCAGGTCTACCTAAGATGTTTTGGGCAGGCGCAGTGCATACGACAGCTTATTTGATACATCATGGGCCATCACTTCTATTGGATTTTTTGATTCTAGAAGAGTTTTGGAGTGGCAAAAAAGTTAATCTCTCACATTTACGAGTATTTGGTTGCGTGACATATGTTCATATCAGTGACCATGTCAGGAACAAGCTAAAAGCTAAGTCACATAAGTATACATTTATTGGATACGACATTGATGAGTTCGGATATCGTCTTTGGGATGAGAAGAACATGAAAATCACCAGGAGCAGAAATGTGATATTCAATGAAGAAGTGATGTACAAGGACATGGACAATGTCAATGATAGCCAAAGTAGTGGGAGTAGCTATAAGGATGCATGTGGATCCGAGTATATGGATTTGGAGGAACTTCCAGATGGGGAAGATAGTGTCAGTTCTGATTGAAGAACGGTAGAGACGCTAGGTACATAGACTACTACCCAATGCGTGGAGCTTAGGAGGTCATCTAGGATGCCCAAACCGAATCCCAGATATCTCTCATCACTTGATTTTTTACTTTTGACAGATAGCGGTGAACCATAGTGCTATGAGGAGGCTATGCAAGTTAGTGAATCTCAACAGTGGGAGCATGCGATGCAAGAAGAGAGGGATTTTCTTCACTCGAACGAGACATGAGAGTTAGCCTAGCTACATGCACATAAGAAAGCCTTACATCGCCTGCTCCCATGTAAGGCTATCCGATGTAAGGCTTTCTTCTGTGCAGGTAGCTGGGCTAACTTCCATATCTCGTTCAAGTGGAGAAACTCCATCTCTTTGCCTTACATCGGATATATACGAGCAATAATAATTGCACATAATAATTATTCTTCTCTTGTATATTATTACAACAAAATGTGAGGGCTTATATGTGTGCGTGTATTTATATTGTAAATTGCAAAGAGAAATAATGAGCTCTTAGCAGTACACATAAAAAAAAATGAACATTAGAAGGGCTTTCTTCCATATATGCCCCCTCAAATCATATGTAGTTTTAAATGTGCCCCTCAAATTGTTTAGATCACTCAAATTTACCCTCTACTTAAATCTTGCTAAAATGGTACTAGTTTTGAAGGCACTCTGAACATTATATCCCCTAATTAAATGTTTTGGGAGAAGAAAATTGAAGCTCAACCTATTATATCATAAAATTCGATCCCCTAAAGAAGAAAAAAGCTTCTTACGCCTGACTTTCCTCTTCCGTCGCCGATGAACTCATTTTTAACTGGTTACGATCGAATCACCTGAGAATTGTAGTGAGCATTTTAAGCTCATGATAATGATCCTATGGTTATCCTCTTATATTTGAAAATTATTATAATAAAAATATATTATAATATGGACAAATTTTCAAAACCAACCCATTTGATAAACTATTCCCAAAAAAAGACCCATTTCAGTTTTATTTGCAAAAACCGACCTGGTTTCAGCCTCAGCGCTGAAACCAGGTCGGTTTTTGAAAAAAAGTTTCCGAAACTTCACGGGAGTTCAACTCCCGTGAAGTTTTGTTATGAGAAAAAACTTCACGGGAGTTCAACTCCCGTGAAGTTTCGTAAAGTTTTTTAGAAAAACCGACCTGGTTTCAGCGACAGTGCTGAAACCAGGTCGGTTTCTCTAAATAAATCTGAAACGGGTCGTTTTTTGCAATTAGTTTATCAAATGGGTTGGTTTTGAAAATTTGTCCATTATAATATTGAAGTTCATATTTAGTTTTTTCAACCAATTTTGCCGGTTTCTTCTCTATTATTAATTTGATACGTATATGTAAATGAGGTTTTTGCAAGAAGAAAGTTAAAAAAGACATGACTTAGGCAATCAAAGCTTTTTTTTTCAATTTCTTTGGTAATTATTATTATTATTATGGGTCAGGTTTTGGTTTATAGCGATTTTGCTGAACTCCTTCTCACAAAATATTTAGTTCATGGATATGAAAGGTACTTATACCCAAAAAATCTTTTTCTTAGACGAGGGGTAAATTTGAGTGAACCAAACAATTTGAGGGGCAAGTTTAAAACTATAATGATTTGGAGGTCAAATTGAAAATACATATAATTTGAGGGTACTTATCGACAAGCCCTTCAAACTCCTCCCCTCATCTGGGCCCACCACAAAACCACCTTCATCACGCCACCCTCGTATTCTCTGTACCCGAAACCCGCTACAACCCCATCCACTCCTCTTCCCCGATTTTTTCCAACCCCTCCTCTCGGCTCTCGGAAACACCTCCGTATAAAAACGCCGGCCACCGAACAAAACCCCTTATATTTAATTCGCCCGAGGGCTTCAAAGGGGCGCTTTATCTATATATCTCAAAAAAAAAAAAAAAAAAAACGCAGAAATGACCTCGACCTCGTCTTTAATGGCGGGCAGCCCCTCTCTTCTGCCTCCGAGCTCAAAGACTCGAGATTCTCCTGTTCGCTCTGGCCTTCTCTTTGCTCGCCCCTTTTCAAACCCTCGCCGCTCTAGGTCTCTAGGTCAACGGTAATTTGCCCTAACATTTTCTGCTAGTCCCTTTTTTTGCTAGTAGGTCTGGTTGATGAAGCAATTGAGAAAGTTAGGTTCTTTGCTAAATTTACAGTTGTAAAGGTGAAGCCTTGGTACATAAGTTGGATTATAACGGTTTTCCTACTAACTAGTCCTCATTTTGATGTAGCTCACTGAAGAATTGTTGGAGTAACATTTGTTATCTGAACTTTGTGCATAATTTTACGCCCCTGTATATTATGATATGTCAATATGTTGCCTGCTTAAAGTTTTCGATATTGTTTAATCCATTTCTAACCAAAGTGCAAACTATTACTGCATTGCAATGGATGAAGATGGACACATGGTGGTGCAAAAATAGAACTGCAAGCCAACACAAGATTATTCTGCTCGTGGAAGAACCATGACCAAAGAATAAATGGAAAGGGTGCTTTGGGGCTTTCTACAGAACATCATCAATCTCTTGCTTGCTTTCGTAGCCGTAAGTTGTGCAGAGGTCATGCCATTAGGCAAGCAGGGTCATTCCGGAATAAGCCGACTTTCTCAATTCATAGACATCCATTCTGGAGCAATGCAGTAAGCTTAACTTTCCATCTCTCAAACTTCTCAATTAACAAACCTATTTTAAAGTTTTGTTCTATTTATTTCGTCCTCATATCATCACTAATGATATTCTTAGTGCATAACTATTTTCTTATGTCATGTTTGTGAATGATTTTTCATGATAAAGAGGGCACATGCTTAAATATGCTAATGCTATTCATATTATGAATGAACACATAGAAGAATATAAAAGCAAGGAAAAATGTAATAGTTTCACGGGAAATTTATTTTGTCATTGAGTTGTGAGTAACAACATATTTTTAGTTGTATATTCGTATGAGTTTTACACTTAAGGTGGCTGACATAAATTTTAGTATTTTGTGATAAAATAAGCAGAATGAATCCAGGAGGGGAGCAGCGTATTCATGTTCTTTTTATGTTGTTATTATTGGCAATGTCTTTTCTATGACAAGATATAAACTATGGATACATGTTAGTTTCGGACATCCCCACCCATTTTCTGTTCTTGAAACTAAAGTCTAAAACAGGTTATAAGTTTCCCCCTCTTTATCCAGTTAAATTGCTTATAATCCTAGGAGCTTGAGTATGATGTGTTGGGTTCTTATGTTTACAGAAACTATGTGTTGTGTGATAGATGATCTCTGTTATTGAATCTTTTGCTATAGGTATATGTATATACATGTATATAAATTATATTTATATATGTATGTGGCAGTAGGCTTGCCCAAAAGTAAATTAGATGCCTTCGTTTTCAGTACCATTGGGTATCATCACCAAGGTTTTAAATGTCGGCTGACATGTTCGACATGTCGGTTTGAGGGCTTGAACGACACGACATGGGCGTTTTCAACTCTTATGTCGGTTTTCAGGGCCAAATCGGAAATATCAGGGTCATATCGTGCATATTGACCGATTTTTCATCTTTGAAAAAAAGGTCGATATGACCCTTTTTTTTAGATCTATTTTTTTGTTATTGGGGTTTGGGTTTAGTGATAAAAACCCAAGCCCGTTTGATTCGTTCTCATGTTTAAGAGTTTCTTATGAACCCGATAGAAAGAAAAGAGAAAAATTAGGGTTGCAGCGGACTTGGAAACCCATCACTCCTTTCGTGAGCGACGACGCCCTTCCCCACATCGATCTCGGTCCCCGTTGTCCATCTCCCTTTGCGCCTCGAAATCCGAACCCCAACCGAACTTGAGGACGACAGCGTATCTCGTCGTTGGGATAAAAAGAAGAGGGTGGTCGGTGACTCATCCGAAGGACCCCGAGCAGAAGAAGAAGAAGAGCTCCGACACTGCTTCCCTGCGACGTCCCATCTCCGGCACTGTCTTCCTTCGACGTTGGAATCCACCCATCGCCGACGCCGCCTCTAGAATTTATAAAGTATGCTTATATTGAATTTAGGAATACTTAGATTACATTTAGGACATGATATTATACATACGCGCACCATCCAATATGACAATCCGATATTTAGTCCATGTTCCCCGATATTTCCCTGATTTCCGCGATCTGATATGGATTTTAGCCGTCCAACATGAACCCGGCATCCAACATTTAAAACCTTGATCATCACAATGCGTCATACATTAACAGTATCTTTCAATAAAGATAAGGAAGCTACATCGATTATCTATGCATGTTCTTGTATCAAATTCCCAAAACACACAGAAAACTATGTTGGTCAATGTTCTTACTTTCATAACATTTATGTGTTATTGAGATGATGAAATGAATTGCATCTGTGCCATGCTTTTTTGTCACAACTCGAATTAATGAAACATGTCTGCTTGTTGACTGCTTCTTTATGTTCCCAGAGAAAATCAGTTCAGATTGCCTATGCAGCATTAGGACCTGATGAACCACATGTTGCTAACACAGCATGGTCAGAAGCACTTCTTGACAAACCAAGCATCTGGGTTTCTGAAGCAGAAAAAACAGAAATAGAAGGGGTTTTAAGTTCTCCACTTCCTCCTCACCCAAAGTTGCATCGAGGACAATTGAAAAATGGTCTGCGCTATATTATTCTTCCGAATAAACTTCCAGCAAACAGGTATTCCACATGATCTGCGTTACTTGTTGAGCACACCCGACATTCTTTTTCTGGTGAACTTGTTCTAGTAATATCAAAGTTGTTTTTGGCATAGTTGCTTGGAACCCGGTTCGTTCTGGTTCATGGAACGGGAATGGGAATGTGGCGCACCACTTATTCAGGATCGGGTAAAGAGGGTAGGCTTGTATAGTACACTAGGGAGTGTAAACGCCACTTGTTTGGAAATGGGTACGAGGGGGGTAGGTTTATATGGTATGCTAGGGAATGTGGCACGCTTTAGGTTCGGTTTTTAAATGTAGGAATCTGAGTTCCTGGATGTACAATTTCACGCAAGAGTCAAATTCGAGGATCAGGAATGGCAAAAGAATTTTCAAGTTGCAATTATAGTACGCTTTCTGTATTTTATTTTTCTGAGAATAGTTGTTTTTGCCCAAAATACTAACTAATTTGAATTCTAAATCGTGTCGCAGAGTATGGGACCCAAAACGCTAGTGTAACGCGTTTTGGGATGATTGAAACCCGGGTTGAGGTTCGCTATTGTGTCCCACGTTCCCGACATCTTTTTGACCTTAACAATGCTGGTAGCAATAAATTTCTCTCTTGAATTTTAATCATTAAACATTTCTGATAAAGTTGTCAACGCGACACACATTATACATTATTTTCAATGTTTTTGTATTTGTTTTCTGTCATATTGTGTTTATAATTATATCATATGCAAGAAAAATTATGCCACATATACAAAAATCTGTTGGCTGAACTGTGTGGCTGTAGGTACCATAATTAAGCGGCGGCAGAATAAGACAATGCGGCAGAATAAGACAATGCATGTAGTCTAACATAACCTGCCAATCTTCTAGAGGGTTACTCTATTTTCTGGCACTAATTAAAGGGCTTTCATTTCATTCTGTCAACTGTATACACTTATCTCTAGTTGCTTTTGCAGTGTCGAAAATATTCCATGCAGTTTAACATCCTTCAAATTCTAGGTTTGAGGCACACATGGAAGTCCATGTTGGATCCATCAATGAGGAAGAGGATGAGCAGGGAATTGCTCATATGATCGAGCATGTTGCTTTCCTTGGAAGTAAAAAGCGTGAGAAACTTCTTGGAACAGGAGCAAGGTCTAATGCGTACACAGACTTCCATCATACGGTGTTTCATGTTCATTCCCCGACTACATCCAAGGTTTGTTATTTTCCTTGGGTATCCTACTATTGGAAGAAGTATGAAATCTCCTTTTAGTCTGGCAACATGGCATCAATTTTTTCATAAGAAAGTTTAATAAATGTTTCAGCTTCTGAAGAAGCGACAAACTTCCCTGTTATCGGAAAAATATGATTGGAGATTTTAATGAAGCTCCTTGATAAAAAGGTGGCAAAATCTTATCCAAGAAAGAAGTTTACTCTAATTCCAATGCAGAACATTTCCCTAAAAGAAGTAGCATATTTTCTGTTCTATGTTTACTTATGAAAATTAATTAGAAACCGATTGCTAGTTAGACATTACAATCTCTAGCCTAAGTTAAAGTGTTCATCTTCATTCTTATGCATATATTAAATTAAGGGAGAAAAATGTGTTCGCACTTTGTGTGAAGGTTGGCTTTTAGGAAGCTGCTTTATCCATAAACCTCATGGTGAATTCTTATTTGGAAGAAGAGTTTTGTTAAACTCTCCACTAGTATTCCGGTGCATGCAATGCTTGCATGGCATGAAGCGTAAAAGAGTGTTGTACTCGGATTGTCAAAAAAACAGGCATCTTCTTTGGTTTGTTATTATTTTAAAAAATTTTCAATTGTAAAGGGATCTCAGCTGATTTTTTATGGGAGAGGGTATTTTTGTTAAGTTTCCAAGTGAGAGAGCGTTTTGGTGAATTCTTCCAGTACAAGGGCATTTCAGTAGTCTTTCAAACGCGAGGGCATTATAGGAATTCTTAAAACGAAGCTCATATGGCCAAGAAAGGTGTCTTTCTTTGAATAATGGTAATAGGTTTGGAAGCTCTAAAATTAACTTAAATTTACAAAAAATTTATGTAGAGAACTTTTTATTTTGTTGCAATCTTCAATCTCTCTATTCAAAACTGGAGGTAAGGTGGAGCTTTCTGTTGACCAGCAACGGCTATCTCTCTCTGTAGCAAATTGACAATCTTTACTCAAGATATATTTTCGTCTCAGAACTTACATTCCAGATTTTGCTGTATGACTTTTGTGTTTCTGTCCAACAAAGTTACATGCACAAGTTTGTACTTTGACATCAACATGTTCGTACAAATATGTTTTACCCATCAAGTAGTGCTGTATCACTATCCTTATGCTCCTTTTCAAGCTTCTAATCTGAGCATATTATTGTTTTGTGTCAATGCTAATGGTTTACATCAGGCGTCTGAGGACTTGCTTCCATCAGTATTGGATGCTCTAGATGAGGTAATTGTGGGAACTTTATTCCACTCTTTATTTTTTGTATTAATATTTAAAGCTAATTTTCCTATTAAAGAATAGATTGAGGTTCTTGGCTTGTTGCTAACAATCGATTTGATGCAGTCTGAAATTCATAAATATTATGATTATGATTAGGTGTAACGTAGAAATAATTCTGGCTAAACCTTGTATTCATTTTTTCCTAGTAGATTGAACATCTTATTGGACCTTAATGGAAAATTTGCTAGAAAGAATATTATGGAGGATTTTAAATTTTTTTTCCCTGCATGTCTACTTCAAAGCACAAAATTCTTGACCCTGTCCTGGGAATTTTTATTGAGAACTTCTGCTTCCTGTTTGAGATTGATCAGAAATATATTTGCATGCATAATTTTAGCTCACTTTATCTGAGAAGTATAGAATAATCTACCAGCGACGGACCTGCCAAATATTCAAGGCTCAAACAAAGAACTTTGTCCATTTAATTTTTGGTGAACTCCCTTCTTAAAATTTCATAGAAGGCACCAAATATTAGTTCTCAAAAGTATAACATGCATAGCACATGAAGTGTTTACCAAGGGAAAGATAGCAGAGGGCAGTGTACTGAAACTTTCTGAATATTTTTCATGGTAGTTCTTTGGGAAGACAGAGAAGGTTCGTTAGTTCAGTATAATCTAGACAGTTGTACAGAAATTTAGGGATAGACAGCCCCCGGCCCCCCACACAAAGGTTAAGTGCATGAAAGAAAACTTTATGCTTCATTGTAAACCTATATAGTTTCACTGTTTGTGTTCTGGTTTTGAACTGAGCTGGCACCTATAGAAACTGCAGTCTCCTGTTATACTTGTAAGATCATAAAAAAGGTTATGAATTTGTAGGAGGAAGTGAGATGCTTTAAGATTTTTTTTTAAAGTTGCGGTCTTAACTTTTTATCCATTCGATTAAATATCTACTTTATTGACCTTTTACTAGTGCATTCTACAAAAACAGGTCAACTGCGCTTGTCTATTACTGTAAATCAAGAGTTAAATACTTGTTAACCGGTCATTATAATTTTAGTTGAGTGTATAGACATTCTCATATGCAGATGCCTGCAGTTGCCCGGGGGTGGGGGGTGGGTGGGTGTGCACGTGCATTCATGCTTCTTTGTCTGTTTAAGACTTGTTCACTACTTTTTCAAATGAGTGTATAGTAAATCTCATGCTTGGACACATTAGATGTTCGCGTGTATATGAATGGATGTGACCGAGGAGATGAGAATAGATTGCCAGCTGGTTTCACATATGAGCAACAAACCATAACATTTGGGGATGAACCACTTCATGAGTGTGTAGGCATTCTCATGTGTGGGTACCTGCAGTTGTCTATTATTTCGAATAGTGCATGATTGATTAGTCAATCTTATGCTTGGATTCATGTAGTCGTGGATGTGTGTGTATATGAGTGTAACTGGGAGGAGATGAGAATAGATTGCCAGTTGGTTTCACATATGAGCAACAAATCATAACGTTTATGGATTACCTATGCAGTCCTTCGTGATTATCTTGTAGACTTATACTTTTCAGATCTTCATGCTAATTTATAGGAGAATTATTGATTGAAAAATATTTATGATTCCAGATAGCCTTCCACCCCAAGTTTCTTGCATCTCGAGTTGAAAAGGAGAGGCGGGCTATACTTTCTGAACTGCAGATGATGAACACAATTGAATATCGTGTTGATTGCCAGGTAAAAACCATGCTTTTATGAACTACACATAATGAACACAACTGAATTATCTTTGGTGTCCCTCATTTTGCCCTCAATGATTTGTGAAAATTTCATTTCTACCAGCTGCTGCAACACTTGCATTCAGAAAACAAATTGAGTAAAAGATTCCCAATTGGATTAGAGGAGCAGATTAAGAAATGGGATGCAGATAAGATTCGTAAATTTCATGAGCGCTGGTATTTTCCTGCAAATGCCACATTGTACTTGGTTGGTGATATTGATGATGTTCCCAAGGCAGTTGAACAAATTAAGGTATGTCCGGCTCTTGAACATTCTCTTATATAGTATTCAGATGTAACTATACATGGTATTGTGGTATTTGACCTTCCTATTAGCTGATAAGATTTGTGTATATAGACTGTGTTTGATCGTACACTCGAAGATGAAGTCCCAAACATCAAGAGTTCTAATGCGTTTGGCGCAATGGCGAGCTTTCTTGTTCCAAAATTACCGAGTGGACTTGCCGGAAGTTTATCCACAGACAGATCATCTATCCCATCGGGCCAACAAAAGGCAACGGAAAAGGAAAAACATGCTCTTAGGGCGCCAATTGAACATAATTGGTCTCTCCCAGGATTTGGTCGTGGTGCTAAGCTCCCGGAAATTTTCCAACATGAGTTGATTCAACAGTTCTCTATTAACATGTTCTGCAAGGTAACCTGTGGATTTAATGTTGGCCATTTGCTTACTTTCATTTCATTATATTATACCAGACATTGTAATGTATATTTGTAAGATTTCAGAAAGTAACCAACAGAATTCTGTATGAACCACATACATTTTTTCAATTCTGATGGCAGTGAGCAAGTGAATATCTGACCATAGGCAATTAATCGAAGAGAGAAACAGGAGCCGGGTTGTCTACAAACTTTTCTAGCTTTTGTCTTTCATCAAGAAAATTAAAAAAAAGGAAAACAATGCAACCCGGCAATCTTTTGAGGTAAAACTTGGAAAATGAAAGAAAATAGTGATCAAGGAAAAATCTATTTCAGAAGTGTGATTGGTATTGTGGAGAGCCTTGGACTGGAACGAGAGACCTTGAGCTGTCACCTCCTTGAAAGATGCATTATGATATAGTACACACGTAACCTGTGTGTATTTAAATAGATACATATATAAATATGTATGTATATATATGTATCTCTCTGATTGATATGTACACACACATTATGTATATGATCTTCTTGATGATTTCATGTTAATATAAATCATAATCAACATAACAGTGAAGCAATGAATTTTAGTGTGAAGTTAATATTGTTTCCGTTAACACACTCACATACTCTTAATCTATTGAAAACATGAAACTTCTTGACTTTTGATGGAAGATTTGACTTCCAAACTCACAACAAGCATCTGATTCACTTGCAGATTCCAGTCAATCGGGTTCAGACATATGGGGACTTGCGCAATGTTTTGATGAAGAGAATATTCTTGTCAGCCTTGCAGTTCCGGGTAAACACAAGATACAAGGTACGGACAGTTGTATGTATAGTATTTCTGATGAAAACAACTTTTTGATGACATTAGCAAGTCTTATTGAATGCCTTTTTCGTTACTTTCTGCTGCAGAAATAAAAAAAAACTCTTTAATTCTGACAATCATGTTTAGGAGTTTTGGCAGGTGCGGTAGACATTATGAAAATATTTATCTCAGTTTTTTGACATCCAAACTGCCTGGATAAGACTCTCATAGTCACCTGTTCAAAAAGACCTGTATCTGTGATTAGTAGGGTTCAATGTCTTCGATTATGACCCTAATGCACATGCATTTATGCTCTCTCTCTCTCATAGAAAAGGGGGAAAAACATTTCTCTCACATTATACATTCTTAATGCCCAGTGGTTTAATTATTGGAACTGTATTGCAGTAAGCCATATAAATTGAGCTTTTGCTGTAAATGAATAAATTTGCTTGCTGATCTGCGTTATTTCAGCTAAATTCTCTCATGTGCACATCCACTGTTGAGCCGAAATATAATTGTACCCAGAAGATTGTTCATCTATGCTGCTGAGAAGGGGAAAAAGTTTCAAGGGTTTTCTTAATCCATGCTTCAAGTGCTAGTGCTTGCAAAATTCGGCTCTTTCGGACAATAATATTTGACCACCAACATATATAAATAATGAGGTCTCCTAGTTCTGTCAAAATGTTTTTGCTTCACCTAGTTCTTATGCATTTAGCATGCAGAACATGCAATGGACAGTTATCTATAATATGGTTTTTCTGAAGCCATATGTCATTATGATCACTCAAAATTTCTGATGGATGTCATTAATTAGATAATTTTCACTGGATCTAAATATGCTGTATGTCTACAAACATCTCTCTCTTTTTGTTGTCTGCCTTCAGCATGAGCATTATGTTCTCAGTGATGCAGGCTGGTGTAATGTTGTTGTGTATAATTTGTCATCTTACCCCTTGAAAATTGGCTTTTTAGAGTGCTAAATTCAATAGGTTGTCTAACCAATTGCATCCACGAAAGTATATTGAAATAGCAACTACCTGGAAAGACGTATAGCTTTATTGTTCATTCGATTAGAAGTTGGGCCTATATCTACTAATGAAAACAGAGGAGATAACATCAATGTGAAATAAGATCTGAATCAAATTTAATCTCAAAAGTTTGCATCCATATCAACAAATGGTTTCCTACCTCAAATAACAATGTGTACTGATAGATAGTAGTTTCTTTATTTCTTCTGGGTTGATACATCCTCTATTTTAGCTAACATTTACTCTATATTTTTGTGTTTAATTTTACAGAGTTCAAATCCTCCTTTTACATCAATCGAGATGGATCATAGTGATTCAGGAAGAGAAGGATGTACAGTCACTACTCTTACAGTGACCGCAGAACCTAATAATTGGCGAGATGCTATTAAAGTTGCTGTCCACGAGGTTTGTAGTTTGGACTGTTATAAAAACGCTTGATATATTTCTCAACAGCTTAAATGAGCTACGCTACTTCATGGTTATTATAGAACTGCAACTAATGTAACTCTTATCTTATTGCACAAGTTTTCAAGATACCAATATTGCAAGCACATAAAAAAAGCGGCCACTTAAATGCTAATGTAATACAGCACACTTCCTTGTTAAGAGTGTAAAATCTGTCTTGCTGAGCATACATGAGCTTTATATGTTTTGCTCATTTATATTTGGCTTGCAATAGATGAAGTTGTAGTCTGGCACAGTTTCATCTGTGCATCCTTTATGTAGTGAGGTAGATTATCCTCTTACTTGTATTGTTTCATAATCTTTTAGCTTTTTCTTCCCCCTCTTTCCTCGCGTTTGCCATATTTGGGTTCAATGATTTACTCAAATATCACATCTAACGATATGAAATTATGGCTGTTTACTCCAGTAATGCTTCTTTTTGTTCCTGAATATTTTACTTGAATCATGCCTTTGTATATGCTGTCTGGTTCAGGTTCGAAGACTTAAAGAATTTGGCGTGACAAATGGAGAGCTGACTCGTTATATGGATGCACTTATAAAAGATAGTGAACAAGTGGCTACAATGATTGATAGTGTTCCATCTGTTGATAACCTAGATTTTATTATGGAAAGTGACGCACTTGGTCATACTGTTATGGACCAAAGGCAGGCCCATGAAAGTTTAGTTGCAATTGCTGAAACTGTCACCCTTGAAGAGGTAACTTGCTTTTAACATTGACTGATTTCAGTTGAATTTTGCTGTAGTTATCATTGTGAAGCTGTTTCATAACACAATATTCTAAACTTACATCTGTTTTATAATGCACTAAGTAGTTAAGTTTTGCAGGTTAATTCTATTGGTGCTGAGGTGTTGGAATTTATTTCTGACTATGGTAAACCTACCGCACCTCTTCCTGCAGCTATAGTTGCATGTGTTCCAAAGAAAGTGCATATTGATGGGGTTGGTGAATCTGAGTTCAATATACATCCGTATGAAATTGTTGCCGCTATGAAAGAAGGCCTGGAGGAGCCCATTCATGCTGAGCCAGAGGTCTGCTAGAAATTATTTAAATATTTCATATTCTTTTGACATTTTCTCTCTTGCAAATCGCTGGGGTTTCTGCATACTATTAGATATCATTTTTATACCACAGAGTTCCCAGTTATTTTGATGGACCTTTTCTTTTCAGAACAAAAAGTCAATGACAATTCATCTGACATTCAATGCTTCCTTTGTTGGTGATGGAACTGGTAGCATCAACATTCTTTTTCTTACACATTTTGAGAAAGCCCCTTTTGATTTACAGTCCATACAGCAGCATTACCCTAATGAGAGCATTCGCTGTTCATGCTACTTTCAACTCCTTGGCCACAACCTAGATGATCCCACAAAGAGGCTGCTTCACAGATGACCCCATGGCCATTGTTATAGGAAGGAGAGTAGAAGCAAGCCATATTACTATTGCTAACATAATATCCCTTTTGGTCATCGAGACTCTTGGCCCTTTAGCTTTGTATATTAGTCTTCCATGAAATACTCTATTCTCCATTTACTATGATTCCTCTGTCTTCCACCGCCCACACAAATAGAAAGAAAAGGATGACGTTTTCCCAATTGTTAGGGATAGTCTCTGATATGCTGGAAGAAAAACCTGCACTCCAGATTGATAACTTGCCACATTTTTTCACTCTCCATGTTTCAAACTTTTGTAATTATTACCATTCCTGTTATGTTATGTCGTTATTACCGTCTTTATGCAGGTAATAACATGGTTACCTATTGAGAGGCCCTTTTGGTTCATAATCCCTGTAGATACATCACAAGCATTTCCTATTTCTCTGGTTACATCCTTGGCAATGGTTGATCCACCAAACATGCTAACCCACAAATCACCTTGTGGCCATACAGACAGGAGAGCGGAAACACACAATAGTAGGAGAGCCAATATAAATCCCATTTGGCCATCAGGACTCTTGGCCCCTTAACTTCATATATTAGTCTCCAATTGAATATTCTATGTTCTCCATTTCCTATGTTTCACACATCTTCGACGGCACATACCAAATAGAAAGAAAAGGGTGATGGCTTCCCCATCCTTGCTCAGAGGTTGTGATATATCAGAAGAAATACCTGCTGCCCAAAATGATAACCCTGCCATATTTACTCCTCCCTGTTTCAAGCTCTCTTATTTTGGAGATCCCTGTTCCTCTCTTTCACTACTGTCATCTTTGTGTCCAAAGTGTAAGATACTGTTTTGTTTTTGCTCAATGGTGTCAATTTTCAACCCTTTAGGTTTTTACTGATGCGTTCAGTCATCCTTCCAGTTAAGGAATAGTTGTTATGCTAGTTGCCCATCTCTCAGGAGGCTATGAACTTACCATGGGCAGAGCTACATAATACTGAGGATTGCCACATACTCTACTTGACATGGCAGAAGTGCTTAAACAATTGCAATACCCCACGAGAGAATCTAATCCCATCCATCTTTTATGCCTCCTGTGAATAGACTGTCAATTGGACTAATTTCTTCACCAAAGTACTTCTGGGTCCACCTGTGAGGAGGGAAAAGTGAAGGGAAAATGCAATTGTACTAACCTCTATGGTCGACTTCATATTTAGCGTTTACTCAATGGGAGTCTGGACTGCCTTTTTGGGCCAGTGGGCTCAAGAGTATAATATATATGCAACCAACCCCAATTGTCTGTAATCACACTTATGTGCTAGATGCAGCCAGCATTTCTTTCTCGTAAGTCTACTTGTAGTCCCAGAAGTTTGGTTTGAATACCAGGGCTCGAAGCCAATAGCCAACACATCCTATAGATGATATTACTTTTAAGCCTTTTGAAGTCTAATGTATATTAGCTTCCAACCTATTTATTCATTGTTTTAAATGTCTAATCTATCTAAAAGGAAATGAAGATATAATTTTACAAGAAAATTATGTAACTTACTGTATACTGTCCGTCTTTATACACAATTATAAAACATGTATTCCTTATGATTGTCTGAAGACATATTTTCTTCATATAAGCTAAAGATTACAAACTAATTAAACTGACACTTTGTGTGCAAATTACTAGAGAGAATGAAGATTAAACAGCCTCATAACCCTTGCTCTTGTTCCCTGTTGAAATTGCGTCTTAAAGGTGATTGAAGAAGGAAACTATCTTGATACTTTGCTCGTTATTTTTCTCAACTAAAAAGGCTGAATAGAATTACTAAAAAGAACTTACTCGGCCAAGTTTAAATGTTATCTAATTTACTTGTAGAGATTCATGTTTTTAATCAACAAAGTGAAGAGTACAATCTTGCTTTCTCTTTTATTGAGCTTGTGCCTCACCTAAATTGAATATCTGATTCTGTCCCTGGCTTCCAATCCCTTGCTTTCATCACACTAGAGGATTCTTGCAGGAGAAGCCTATCCAATACTATAGCATGATTCATAGCAAATAGAATTGTGCTAGGTCTATAAAGGTTCATGCAAATAATTCATTTCTAATATGGTGACAACGAACTTGGGAAATGGAAGCCTGGTTCCATTATTTGGTTTTCCTTATAGCCTTTCTTCTCCAATCCTTCTTGAGGACAACATATGGTATAACATAACTTATGTTAGCTGTGAAAGGAAGGAAAAGACAAAATTTGGAGGAAAAACCTTTGTTATAAATGTTCTCCCCTATAATTAACTCATATAAAAGTTGCTATTTAAATTTATACCATGTTATCCTATATATTGTGGCTTTATTTGTTGACCTTTTTGTTTTTTCAGCTTGAGGTACCGAAAGAATTGATAAGTTCATCAGAACTGGAGGCATTGCGGGTTCAGCGAAAACCATCTTTTGTTCCCTTACAAGAAGGGAACACGATGAAACTGTTTGATAAGGAGACTGGAATAATGCAAATACGTCTTTCAAATGGAATTCCAGTGAACTACAAGGTATTCTGGTGCTATTTTGATTGCTGGACGTCAAAGTGGCCTTTTTTGGCTAATGTGGCCTTAGTTTACATTTCTGTGGTTGATCTAGCCAGGATATTTTTTTGCTGTTGGAATTTATTCACCCACATTGACTTGGAAAACTGAAGTGTTGTAAGCTTTATATTACTAAACCACTTTTGATGCTAGAGTTTATCAATACATGTATACTATTATATAAAGGAAGTGTGGGGTGGTGAAAAATTTGGATGAGTGGCGGACATGTCTTCCATTCCAATTGTACTTGGGAGGGTAAATTTGTAATTTCCTTCCCTTTACTTTTTCTAGAATGTGCTAAACCATGACATGATTATGTAATTAAAGTCCGGTAATTGAATATCTATCACATTGTATGCTATTATACTGGATAAATTTAAGGATTAGGGTGAAAAATACTACAATAGTCCGTGAAATTTTACATCTGTTGCGTGTGCATATGCACATGCGATAATGCTAGTTTGATTTATAATCTGCTAAAGTAATTAAACAACTGGCGCTAAGCGTACTGTTTTATGGCACTCATCTATCTATCTTACATACGGTGATACAGGAAGGCCTTGTTTGAAGTTTTGTGTGCATGTCTGTGGCTGTCTGTGTGTTGTACATGGGTTTGATATGGGGTTGAGTGTGTGAGTGCATGTGCAACTACAAGCGCATCGATTTTATGCATGTGCATCTGGTAGTGCAGCATCTATTTCCCTCTTGGGGCTTGGGGCTTAACTAGCTCAGTTTGCCATGTGGGCAATGGTATAGAATAGCCATCTATACTAAATAGAAGAGGGTGAATTTGGTCAGTTTCATTGAAGAGGGTATTTATTTTTCAGCACTAAGAACTATGGCTACATTTCTTAGTGTTGAGGAATCCTTTCCTTTGTTTCTTTTGGAGTGTTTATCTTATTATGCTGGGGCCTTAACCATGTCGAGAGAAAAATAGCTGCTTAGCCATTGTCAGTTTATTGTTTAATTTTTGTAACTCAACTCACTCCATTATTTTGTGGTTTCCTCTACTTTTGTAACTTGATCCCTTACTTTGGGTTTCCAACTAACTCTTTTGTCTGTCTGATTTACCGATAGATCTCAAAAAATGAGGCCAGATGTGGTGTGATGCGACTGATTGTTGGCGGAGGAAGATCAACGGAAACTTCTGAATCAAAGGGAGCTGTTGTTGTGGGTGTTAGAACGCTCAGTGAAGGTGGTTGTGTTGGCAGCTTTTCAAGGGAACAGGTAGGAAAATCTCTCGGATATGTAGTGTTGGATTCCATACTATTAGTATGTAATTTTCAAGATGGAACACTTCTAAAACTGCTCCGTAACTGTACTTGCTGAATATTATATTTCCTAGTAGATGCCATATGTAATTGTATAAAGGTTAGAGGCTATACGTAGTTATAAATTTGGCAATTTGGGAGATAAGTATCTGAGTATTGGCTATTTGAGTATTGACTTTTACAACTAGTAGATACCATATAAATTTAGGAATATTATATTTCATAGTAGACACCATATGTACTTCTTGCTGGGGTTAATAATTGGGAATTTGGGAGATAAGTATCTGAGTATTGGCTATTACAACTAGTAATTTGGAATATCCAATACGGAAACAAAGAAACACATTGGTCCTAGTGGGTAATATTTGATTATATCTGTGATATATGTTCAATATTAGAAATTTTTAGAATATGAGAATGTAATTCCAGTAAAAACTGGACAAAGCTTCATATAGTATAGTACTGCATGTTTTCAATTTATGCTGCCCTTTAGGTGACACATAAAACCTTACAAGAAAATATATATTTGGGAAATGTCCACCTGGAATTTTGGTAGTAAAAGGCGACTTTTAGCAGTAAAGATGGTTGGAAGAAAAGTAAATAGCAATTGACGTCACTGCAGATTTTTTGTACAAACATGAAAAACAAGTACTAAATGCATGGGTTTATGTAATCAGGGTGAAAACTCTACTTTAATATCTTTTAGCATAAAATTAATATTTCTTAAGGACAATAAAATAGGTATTATTCTAAATCTAAAGAAAGAAAAAAAGGGAAGACGGAGTTAGAAAGTCCTACACAGAGTGCCCTTTTTATCATTTGAAACAGAATTCACTTCTGGCGTCCGATGATATCATGCAGGGATCAGTGCCACGTGTGACAATTGGAAGTGAATTATGTTTCTGTTCGGTTTCTGAAAGCTAGCTTCTTCATTAACTTCTACAGATGTAAATATTGCTGCTTACTTTCTTTTGCTGAGTCAGTAACTCCTTTCAAGGAATGGCTTATCCAACAGCTATTTCCAGAGACCTTTCTGATTTAAAGATGTTTGGTATTTTTGAAAAAAGTCAAAGATAAAATAAATAAAAAAATCTTCATATAGTTGATAATGCTGTGATTGATCTTATGTATGTTTGTATAGTAGGAAATGTAGAAGGATCACAGTGCAAGCAGATTTATGTAATGGAGTGATCAATTTAAACAGTGTCATTATTCTTCTTTTCAACTCTATGGTTCTTCCCTTTCTAGGGCCATACTAAACCTTCTTTTCCTGTATATTGGTTTTTTATGTTTGTTTTGATTGTACGTACATTCATGGCTAGTGCCAATGGAACTTCATGTGTGAAAGTTTTCCTTCAGGTAGAACTCTTCTGTGTAAATCACCTGGTAAATTGCTCCTTGGAGTCTAATGAGGAATTTATCTGTATGGAGTTTCGATTTACTTTAAGAGATGATGGGATGCGTGCTGCTTTCCAACTTCTTCATATGGTTCTTGAGGTAAAGTTTATCCTCTGTATTTTAATCATGTACGACACTCCTTCCTACACTAGAAAATGCACAGTTAAGTAACCAGGGCCGCTGGCGGGGCTCCGAAGGAGTTAAACTGAGCTGGGGTGACCAAGTTTCCCTTGTCATCAAAAAAAAAAAAAATGCACAGTTAAGTTTGTCCATTCCTCTTTCATCCATAATAAACAATTATTTAATGAAAGGAAGCACTGTGGTTTTATGAATATTGCAAATTTCTTCGCAAATGATGGTACTTCAACTGCCTTATGTTGAAACATAACCTTTTACTGGAATCCTCATAATGTTGGTACCTTCACGTCCTCTCGACATTTGTCAGTCTGAAATAATTAGTTTAAACTAGGATTTACTCCTGTGCTATGAGTCTTTTCTGGATAGTTCCAAGTATGCACCTTCTGGTGCTTTAAGAGACCACTATTTTGATTAATCAATTAACTAATAAAGATTAATTTTCCTTAGATCTAGATTATCTGTTGACTCGTGATGATTTTATTTTGTAAGCAATATTAATTGTTCATATGTTTACAACTGAGTAAATGGTTCATATGAGGCTTTTCTGGATCATTCCAAATATGCACCTTCTGCTACTTTAAGAGACCACTATTTTGATTAATCAATTTAACTAACAAAGATTACTTTTCCTCAGATTGAAGATAATTATCTAATTATCTGTTGACTCGTGATGATTACATTTTGTAAGCAATATAAATTGATTATAGGTTTACGACTGAATATACATTGGATGAAATTAATGTTGATTTTAAAAGATTAAGTCATCTATGTTTTTACAATATAACCGTAGTTTATTTCATATTCTATATCTTTTACACACACCCTCTCTCTCTTTAAAACAATTGGGTTTACCATTGTAGTAAAAGTCAAGTATGATGTTACGGAAGGTGCTAGGCGGACTAGGTGTTTCAGCCAGCGTCTAGACGCCTAGGCGGCACCTAGGCGTTTGGTTATTTTTAAAATTATTTAATTATAATAATTGATAAGAATATGTATTAAATTCATAAAATTTGCAAAAAATAGCAATCTTAGATCCATAATAAACCATGCATAGTTAAATACTAAATAGCCAAAATAATAAGTAATAATATTATACAAAACGCTAGGAGGCTTAGACGTTGGACTTGATGCCTAGAGCCTAGGAGGTTTTCTTTTTTTATTTTTTAATTATGATAATTGATAGTAAATGTTAATATTATAGAAGGCTTAGGTGCCGGACTGATGTTTAGACGGATTTCTTTCTTCATTTAAGTTACGGTCGAGGATGTCTTGCTGAAGGTTGGAGGAGGTAGTGGAGGTGTTCATATATGGAGGTCAAAGGTGCTTGGAAGAGGTTGGAGGATATGAAGGCTGCAACACAGAAAATCATGATTAAGGCTTAAAGGGTGCAGTCTACATAAGTAGACAATGTTCTTCTAAACACTCCCAAAATCTAGGTGGGCAGCCTAGGTGTCGCCTAGACGTTAGGCGCTAGTTAGGCGGCCTAGGTACCGTCTAGGCCTAGGCAAAGTAGGCGAAGACTTTTTAAAACAGTGGTTAAGTGTAACAATTGCTTAGTGTTTGGTCTTCATTGCAGAGGTCACGGGTTTGAGTCATTTGGCGCCCTACGTTGCCACGTTTTATTTTTCAGAACTACAATTTAGTCTCTCAAATATTCAATAATAATCATATTAGTCCCTCAAATATTTGAAATTGTTCATTAATCCCTCACATCTTAAAGGGTCTTGCAATTTTGTCCCTCAATGACAAAAATACTCTTCGTTTAATGTTTTTTGAAGGGTTGCGTGCAATTTAGCATTGCAAAATTTACACCTTTTTTAACTTTGCTACCCCAAGTTTTTTTACCCTTTGATATTACAAAGTTTATAACTTATTAACATTGATTCCCAAATTTATTTTTAACGTTTTGATACACCCAAAATTTACGCTTTTTCCAACTTTCGTACTCCAAAGTTTCCACATTTTTAAATTTTGACACCCGAAGTTTACACATTTCTTAACTTTGATACCCCAAGTTTGCGGTATCAATGGATTAAAAACGAAACTTTGGGTTATCAAAGTTAAACAAAACTTTGGGATATCAAAGTTAAAAATATCAAAAACAAAGTAAAATATCAAAACAAAGTGTCAAAGAAAAACTTCAAGGTACCAAAGCTAAAAATATTGTAGCTTTAAGATATGAAAGTGTAAAAAAAAATGGATACTAAAATAAAAAAGGCGCAAACTTCAAGCTACCGAAGTGCAAATAACCTTTTTTGAACAAGATGTGTTTTGGGAGGGAAAACATAACCGAGATGTTTTGATCCTTGAGGGACCAAATTGCATGGTCCCTTAGGATTTGAGGGACGAAGAGATTTTCAAAATAGCCCTAAACCAAACATTTTTTAAAAAATCGACCCACTCCATTTTTTATTCCAAAAATTAACCCAGTTTCTGGCCACGTCAGCATCATGGTCAGAAACTGGGTTGATTTAAAAAAAATCAGCTTCCTAATTAGTCAAGGTTGCCAACTCCGACTAATTAGGATCTCTCTAAGATCACTTGTATGGTTAGGGGACCTAAACAAGCGGGGTTGCGAACCCCGACTAATTTTGTCGGGGTTTCTAACCCCGACCGTTTAGCAGAGCCCCACTTGGGTGGCATCGCCCCACACGAAATGGTTGGGGTTAGGAATCCCGACCATTTCATGCACGTGCACGAAATGGTCGGGGTTGAGAACCCCGACCATTTGGCAGAGACCCTCGAGCCCACATTTGCTGGAAAATCTCATCTCCTGCTAACATATATTAATCCTTGACTAAAATTGTCAAGTTTAAGACACTCTCTTGCTACACATATATCAATCCATAATCAATTTCAAACACATAAACACATATCTTTATATATTATTACATCTATAATCAATCTCTAACAAAAACATAACATTTAATTCACTTACTAAAAATCCAACCATAATCAAGTCACAATAGCATTTCAAACATAAACATCATATGAAGTATATCGAAAGTTAGCAAAGATTTAGAACTCCATTTTCTCTCGCTCTCCCTCTTCCTCTCGCTCTGCCTCTTCTTCCTCTCCCCCTTTCTTGTTCGCCTTCAACATGAGCTTGGATGATCTCAAATCTCAATGTCCGTTTGTGTGTGAACTTGTGAGCGCATGACATCCTCGTCGACTTGAACCTGTTGTGAACATCCGACTTGAGCTTGCTGTGAACCTTCGGCTTCATCATGTGCACGACTTGAGCCCGCTCTCATGTGTCTTTGGACTCGTCGATGTTTGTACCCTATGAGTCGTTCCTCACGTCCATCACGAGTTGCGTGACGCGTCTTTCTAAGAGCGGACTGAATCTTTTCTATGATGCGAACAAATGCGTTCCTCGTCCCCGGCTCGATAGTTGATCTCAACGTATCACGTGACATGTGCAATAGAAGCAACCTCATCGAGTTCTTGTACCTATAAGATAAAAAACGAAAGATGATTATTAGCAAGTGGATGATAATAAAAATAATAATCACAAAATAATTGTATATTTTGCCTATACACTTACCAACACTCTCTCAACTGGACCTCTCGGTATGCACTCCTTAGGTGCTTTGTTCTCTCGAAATATCCATCGGCGAGTAATCTCCCAATACCAACGTAAGTACACATCTAGTTCTGGTGCATCAGCTCTCTCCATCACTACAGCATCCTCCCTCAACTCCCAATACTCAATGTAAGCATAATGAATTATATCATTTAAATATAAAAAATTTAAAAAAGTTTATCAGGGCATTGAATAAGAGAGGAAACCCTAGATGTAAATAATCTCATATAATTTTGATAAAAAACCCTAAACTCCAAAATGAAAACCCTAAACCCTAGAAATGAGCATTATATGTTCTAGAATTTTAATTTCAATTACAGCAATCAACACAAAGCATTCGAACCACCACAAAAATAGTGATTGATAATAAATTTCAAACCCTAGAAATTAGATTTTAATGAAAACCCTACATTTGAATGTTGAAGATAATAGAAAAACCCTATATTTTTACATGTTAAAAGAGGAGAGAAGGAAAAGAAATTACGCGAGTCAATGCCCACCCAAGTGGGCTCTGCCAAATGGTCGAGGTTGGGAACTCCGACAAAATTAGTCGGGGTTCACAACCCCAACTTGTTTAGGTCCCCTAACCACACAAGTGGCGTTGGGTGGTCCTAATTAGTCGGGGTTGGCAACACCGAAAAATTAGAAAGCTGAAGCTGATTTTTTTTAAATCGACCCAGTTTCTGGCCATGATGCTGACGTGGCTAGAAACTGGGTCGACTTCTGGAAAAAAAACTGGAATGAGTCGATTTTTAAAAAAAGTTTGGTTTGGGGCTATTTTGAAAATTTCTTCTTTGAGGGACTAATGAGCAATTATTGAATATTGGAGGGACTAATATTCAAATAACCCTAAAAAATCATCAATGTTTAGTGTTTTCTTCGTAAGAACTATAAATTGATTTTTTGCGTATAAACCAAAAGGTTTTTTTTACCTAGACTTATTTTTAAACTCAACCACTTTCAAAATAAGGTGTTCTGCATATGGACCCAAAGTTTTATCACTATTTATTCTTAAAACCACCAACTTGCAAATCACTCATTGATCCAAAATACTCTACCAAATTAATCTTAAACTCAATTTGTATCTCTATAATTTGGTATATAGCATAAAATTCCATGTAACTCACTATTTAGTTGTTTTAAATGGTTATGCATATGGTATATTTTGAACCCGATGTTTAAACTATTTTTTTGGTATTTTTCACATTAATGGCGCAACAACGTGCCGGTCAATTCCGCTTGTTCTATTGAGAGAACTTAATGCTATAATTGTTGTTGCCTTGCAGCATAGCGTATGGTTAGAAGATGCATTTGACAGATCCAAGCAACTTTATTTGTCATATTATCGTTCGATTCCCAAAAGTTTAGAGCGCTCAACTGCTCACAAAATTATGGTGGCCATGCTGAATGGAGATGAGAGATTTGTTGAGCCGACACCGCAATCGTTGGAAAACTTGACGTTGCATTCTGTAAAAGAAGCAGTAATGAATCAATTTGTTCGTGACAATATGGAGGTCTCTGGACGTTTCTCTTACGAAGTCTTCCTTTCTTACAAATTTATATTCATTTGATCCTGGGTCTTATTACTATTTAAACTTGCGTATTTTTATGTCTTTACTATGAACATACGTTTACTTTTATTTTGTTATTTCTAGTGACATGAAAACTTTTTTCTTCAGGTGAACATTGTTGGAGATTTTTCAGAGAAAGATTTGGAATCTTGTATTCTTGATTATCTAGGGACAGTTAGAACCGACAGTACTGCTAGGACTGTGCAGTCTTTTGATCCAATTGTATTTCGACCATCTCCATCTGATTTGCAGTCTCAGCAGGTATAAAGTCAAATGTCCTTTCTCATTATAATTGCTATTTTTTGTGTCAAAGTATTTTTTTAGCTCCTAATTGTTATAAACATGTACCATTCTGACACTTCTAATACTAGGTAATAAAGGATTGGAGCTTACTAAAACTACATTTAGTGGCTTTCTGGCGTATTGAGTTAACAATATAAGGGCAGGCCTATGTGCATTGATGTATATCGAGAAATCTTAACAGAACACTTTTGCTCTTGGCCCTTGAGGGGGACTTTCGCCAGAAACATTACTCTCATGGAAAGACAGAATGGCGTATAGATACATATGTTAAATTTCTGACAGTATATTTTTAATGTACTTACATTGCATAATAAATCCAAGTCCGAAGTTAAGGTTAAGCTAAAGGTTGAGGGGATCATCCTTAGTATTTAGAGTAATGCTACTTTGGCCAGTGGTCTACAGATCAATGATCCCTATTGGCTGGTGTAGGAAAAAATAAAGGAAAGGACTATTAGCTGCCTGCCCCATATGTTTGTCCCAAACTGTGCTGCCTGCTGTTATTGCTCTCCAGATCAATGATCTGAGTATAATACTATTCTATTTACTCGGCAGCACCAGGCTTAGGCCCCTTCTGTTGTGGGCAAATACCTAGCGTGTGAAGGGTATTTGTTTCCGTCTGCTTTAAACTCCCTTGTCTCTGATTGAACCTGTGAGTCTGATAATCACGTTGGTGACTATTTTTTTCTGAAACATTTAAGCTCAAGGGTTGTGAAGCCACAATGCATATCTAGCAAACCTATCAAACTTAACACCCACCATACATAGAAAAGCAGCAAATAAAATTATTTTTATTCTTCTCCCCAAGGTACGATGGTTTTTAATGAAAGATGAAATCCTAGCTTAGAAGTTTAGTGTTGTGCTAACAAGCAACACCTTAGTCTTTCCCTTGTTTGCTGACATATGCATGTAGGCCACTATGTTTTTTTAATTATATAAAACAATCTTAGTATTGATTATTATGGTTCACATGTAACTTCGCTTTGATTGAATAGAAGATGAAATCACTTCATTGTTCCTATCTTGTGCTGTAGTAAATACAAATATTTCTCTATATATTGGCAGGTATACCTGAAAGACACTGATGAAAGAGCATGTGCATATATTGCTGGTCCAGCTCCAAATCGTTGGGGATTTACTGTCGATGGGAAAGACTTGTTTGATTTAATCAAAAGCTCAAGTGTAAATGGTAATTAATATTTCTATGTCAATACTTACATGAATTTGTATCTTTCTTTGTGATCTGCAACGAAGACTGAGTTAAGCAGGCATAAAATCTTACTGCATAAACTTCAGCTTATACCTGCATAGTTAAGCGCATGATTACACTCAATGAAGATGGCTAATAAAGTTCATAAAGTCAGATTTGACCTTATGAAAAGATAATTGTCCAGCGAGGCAATTTTCATACACTAGTGCTTACTAATAAGATTAGTAGAAAACTTATGTGGTTATACTGATACGAATATAAAACATAAGTGTGTGTTTCCAGGCCAATTTCACTTAATTAACTTCAATCCCCTGGAGTCTGCAACCCTGGTTCCCAATCAGGATCCCCTGACTGGCAATCCAAGAAATGGAAAGAAGAGAACTAAAGACTAATTGATCAATGAGTTATCTAGATGTATTTATGGTAGTATTTAACCTTTTTCTGTAGTTATTACATTTTTCAACTTGCCCAACAGCTTGAAAAATTGGAGGAAGTTTGATTTTATAATGCAATCAGAATTATGATAGTACTTTAATTAGTGATGTTTCTGCTTTTTTCTGAAGAAATTATGGTTAGTAATGTTGTCACTATCCTTTGTTTTACATGTATTTAGGCTAAGGTGCATGTCTTGTCTGTGTCATATACATGCAAACGATTTTTGAATATTTGTTGAATATCCTGAGCAACTCAGCCCAAGTATACCATGTTACCGACTAGCAATCCGGTTACCTACCTCCTTCATATCATCCACTGTAAAGAACAGCCCATATCAATCTGATTAACCTACCTCCTTCATACCATCCACTGTAAAAGTAGCATACCGTGTAACACTACTTGTCCCAAAACAAGAATCTGTGAATATTTCTCCAGGTACTATTTGGTTGATAGGAATAGGATGAATGCATACAATGCTGAGATGTGCATAAGAATAAACAAGTAGAAGAATTATTGATGTAGAATATAACAGTGCTTTAAGCTTTCCAATGCAACCCCAAAGCTTAAAGGAAATATACATACAATATTATTCTTCTTAACTTTACACTACCTAACTGCTTTGTGAGGTTGAGAACTCAGTCTGAGATGATATTTCCTATGATTCATGCTAGGGTACCTGCAGCTAGTTGTCAACAATAAAGTTTTGTTGTCAGCTGTCCACAATATATTATTGTACCATGAGAATTTTTTTGATTTCATATTTTGTGTCCCCAGAAGTTAATCAGCTGGTAGCTGGCAGAAGGCCTTGAACTGTAGAAGCTCAGAATTTGAGATAGGAAGTATGACTTGCTAAACTGCTTGTTGTAGTATTGCTGAGATAAGATTCTCAGGTCCAGCCATCCTTGAAATGATAGAATGATTGAAATTGGTCTGTTGCTGCTCATTCTGTTACAAGTGTTCCCTTGCTCTTGATTTGAATGTGTATCTGTTTGGATATGACTGGGCTGTCAATTTGATGTTGTACATGTTGGTACTTGATGACATTACTTTGCCTTTCTGGTCTGTTTCTACTATTTCTAAGGAAAAGGATAAAACTTAGTACACCAATAAAATGTTAAGAGCATATTGTTCATAAATATATTAACCAGGTGTGCTTACAGTTTTAAGACTTTTATGTTTTAACTGTAGGAAGAACCTAATGTGTGTTAACGAATGATACATTGCAGATGAACAGTCTAACTCAGAGAAGTCACTTCATCTTGAAAGGAAAGATGTCTTGGACAAACCCATAAATGATATCCGGCAGCATCCACTATTCTTTGGCGTCACCTTGGGGCTGTTGGCTGAAATCATAAATTCTAGGTAAATTACCTTTACTATTTCATCATTTTCTGTGACATATTAATTACTAACCATATGTTTGAATTAGATTTTGTTTTGATTTGTTTCTCTTTTTTTTGTTTTTGTTTTTTTTCCCGGCTATTTTGTGGTGCATATTTCAATCCAATATTCATGTAATAGAAATGAAAATTACCATTTTAGACTTTAAATCTAGGTAGCACGGATAGGGATGCAGTCATGGACACAGTTATGGACAGCAGGACAGGGGACACAGCAAATTTATAAAATGTAGGATACATGTGTGTGTGTGTGTGTGTAGATATATATAAGATTATTGAATTGAAATACCTATAACATTTCTATTACTTAAAAGAACTGACTTCCTTTCACTAGATTCCTTGCTCTGAAATGCTTGTAAACAACTGTCTATCATATTGCGTACCACAAAATAAATGTGCAAACAGATCATTAAAAGTTCGTAGTTTAACTCCTTGTATGCTAAACAGACTCAGTTGACTAAAGTACTTGCAAACTTATAATTGAGGATCTGAGCTTAAATTACATCTTAGGACCAAAATAAAAGTAAGCCATGATAAGTTCAGATTTACAGTGTGAATATCGTATCTGTATATGTGTGTCCTCCATTTGTTTTTCATATTTGGTTATGTTATGCAATGACTGTAAAATGTTTACCTGAAGTTAATTTATGGATCAAGTTGATTTGATTCATTCCGAAGGCTCAATCTGATGCATACAACTCTTTCATTTCCTGTTTCTAGCGCCCCCTCCAATAGTGGGTTTAAGTTTTTTTCTCAATTTACTTAATTACTTAACTGGAAAAGAACACATATGTATATTAATATTAAATTATATCAAAAATGAGAAAATTATATCAAAAATGAAACACACATATGTTATGACATATATAACATAATTCATTTACTTGTTCAAGGGACAAGCTTTATTTGAGATACAATTGATCTGAATTCAAATTCATAGGATCGGTTTATTTGAGATACAATTGATCTGAATTCAAATTCATAGGATCGGGCAGTTGGAAGGGAAGTTGAAAATAAAAGATGCTATTACAATTGATCTGAATTCAAATTCATAGGATCGGGCAGTTGGAAGGGAAGTTGAAAATAAAAGATGCTATTTGCCCCTTAAATCGTCATAACTCTAAATTTGCCGCTCAAATTGTATTGTTCATCAAATTTACCCCTCAAGTTAAATTCTGTTAAAATTTTAACATTTCTTAGGGTTAATTTACCTTTTTATTCCTACGTTAAGTATTTCGTTCAAAAACATAAGCAAAATAAAGATAAAATTAGAATAATTCTAAAGCTGGATCCATATTGAACTCCAAAGGCGACCAGTTATCAGAGAAGAAATTGAATCGCGTCTTTTCTTTGCTCTCTATGCCACAAGAATTTTACCCCTCGGCGACAGAAGCCAGGTTGCAAGGGAAATCAAGATGCCGCCACCCTCTTGCAATTCTCGCTGTCTTGTGGCATATCTCTAATTTCGATGTCTAGGGTTCCCTGAAAATTCCTAGAAATTTCAGACACAGAGTAGAGAATGAATCAAAATATTCATTGCCTGAATTTGCATGCTATAAGCTAATTGACTAAAACTTCTGAATTTGATACTGGAATCTGATATTTGATGTCAATGTGAAGACATCTTTTGATATGTGAGATGTGAATTTTACTGGAGGAAGGGGGTTAAACTTTTTGTAGGTCTACTTTGTCTATTTGTTCATCTTAGGTCATATACATGTATGAAATGAGCTGAAGATGTTTCATTCCCACAAATAAATCATGGGCTCGAAAATTGAAATTCCTCCATGCTTTGGTTCTGTTCATCTATCTATCCCCATTCAATTTTATCTAATTGGGATTGGGGAAAAAAACAATTCGAGAGAGGCGTAAACATCTCAAAGAGCTTGACCTCATCAGAGACGTCTCTTCGTCGGCAAGGTTGAGGTTGGGTCATAACTTGAACAGAGTGAGCAGAAAACGAGAAGGCGAGGGGAAAAAAAAGTGCGATGTGCTTCCTCTCTGATAACTGGTTTGGCTTAGGAATTGAAAATCAATTCAATAATGGTTTTAGGGTTTTAGTTTTAGTTTGCTGATTTTTTAAGGAAAGCAATTGAACTAGGGACATAAAGGTAATTTTACTCTAGTTACTGTTAAAGTAAGTGAGCAAAGCAATCTGAGGAGCAAATTAGAATTATAATGATTTGATGGAAAATTTTAAAAATATCCATGATTTGAGGGGTATGTATCGAAAAAAGCCAAAGAAATATGCATGTTCGTAACCATATTATTTGATTGTGTTACATGCAAGATGTCTTGAACTTTTTAGACTACAATATTGAAAGTTGACATGTTAAACATCTATTTGCATCATCTAATTCATAGGCTCTCCAATTTTCTTGGCGTATATGTTCTCTAGGATTTATAGTAGTTGCTTGTGACTTAGTGCGTAGGAAATGAATACTAATATGTATTGGTGGTTTTTCGTTTTAATTGTAAACTTTCTGTAAAATAACTTTTTACTGGAACAATAATAGTGGGCATAAGGTTATAATCAACGACTTCTCGTTCTTCTGTTTGCAGGCTCTTTACAACAGTTAGGGATTCTTTAGGATTGACATATGATGTATCCTTTGAACTAAGCCTTTTTGATAGGCTAAATTTTGGCTGGTATGTGATATCAGTGACATCTACGCCAAGCAAGGTAAGCAAGTCAGATTTATTATTTAAATTCTTGTCTCTCATATTTCAGTTTCTAATTTGTATTTTATGTTATTTAGGTTTACAAAGCTGTTGATGCATGCAAGAATGTTCTAAGAGGTCTTCACAACAATAAGATTGCCCAGAGAGAACTGGATCGGGTAGTTGATTCTTTCATCTGATATCTATTAGTTTCAACAGCATAACATAGTATTAAGAAAACGGTTGTGGATCTGTTTCATGTCACCAGTCTTACATTAGATATTAGCATTATTGGTTGATATATCCCCAGGGGACAAAATGTTACAGGCTAGAGACCAAAACTCCAACATCAAAATGAGCTTTTAATCCAAAGTAATTTTGGAATCATGGTACAAAGAATATATGAGGTTCAACTTAGCAAGACTGTGTGAAGAAACTAGGCAATAGTCAACTTTAATGGCTTCAGGATATCTAAGAGTGATATAATGAGCCACTCAAGTTGTTCCAGTGAGCATCAAGTACACTTTTATGCAAACTAGCTAATTACACAGGTTTTATTCTCAGCTCATTACAACGGATGTAAGCCTAAAAATCAATACATTTCAGCAATGTCTACAAGTTGGTTTATTATATGCCCATCTTAATTACTCACATGGAGTTATGGCTTGATTATCTGTCCCTCAAACCGTAGAAATTTGACCTGCCCGGAGCGTCTTAGCTGAGAGAGAACTGATATTATTGTTTTAAAATGTCATCTCTGACCACTTAAATATTGATCTGTTTTTGATGTTCCGACAATTAGTTCATGAATATGTTCATATTTGCATTTACTAAAACATGCAACATCCTTTTTGCTGCGCCCCCACCCACGCCCCCCACGCCCCCCCCCCCCCAAACAAAAAATAAAAATAAAAAATAACACACACACATACAAATAATAATAATAATAAACTAATAGGTATCATTAACAATATATCTTTTATATGTCAGGCAAAAAGGACCCTAACAATGAAGCACGAAGCTGAAAGTAAGACAAATGCTTACTGGCTAGGGTTACTGGCACATTTGCAGTCTTCATCCACTCCAAGAAAGGTATGCTACATAAGCTTGTGCTGTATACAATTCTGGATCTATATCATCTGTCAGCTTATGATGCTTTGCACTGTTGTATTTTTCTGTAATCTGCCTATTTGTTTATGGAAATAACAACTTGTCTCATATGTATGATCTGCTTTGTGGATTGTTTTATAACTTTTAACTGTAGGATTCATGTGGTTGCAATGGCTTGTATGATGTTATATTTATTGATTTGATCAAAATGTACTATTTTGTCTTGCATGTAATTTATCGGAAAAATAATAAATTCCTATTCACTCTCAAAATGAGCAAACTCCAATGTCAATCTGTTCGCCATGGGTACTGGAAGTTGGAAGCTAACTGTGACATGCGGCTGTAAATATAGCGAAATACTCGTGCAATTCATGACTTCCTAATAGTTCCATCCAAACAAAAATTGAAGACTGCTGGCTAGTCATATTCTGTTGTTTTTAAGCAAAGTTTTACCATACCTGCGTAGGTAATCTTTTTATGTGTGTACTTGTGCATCCTATGGATCAAGCAATTCTGAGATGGTTGGCTTTTGATGCCCTTATAATGTTTTTTTTTCAGCTTGCGATGCACATAACAGTGGTTGGCCAAACACTCACTGAATTTTTATTCACATGTTCACATATGTTTTAATATGTGAAACACAATAACCGGTTCACATCATCAATTTTGATGGCATGTCCATACACCCTTGTATTCCATCATATCATTTGTATGATTATCATTCCCATGCAAGATAGACATGCACAAAATTGGCTTCTTTGTTTGCAACTCCCACTAAATCTCATGATCAGTCACTGAAACGGGAAAGCTACTCCGTTCAGACTGATGTTTGTCATTTAAAATGCCCAAACAAAAAGTTGAAGGATATTATGTCTATTTGTTTTCTTTTTTTTGTTTTTTTGTTTTTTTGCGCCTATGTATCATGCATGCAACAATGCTGAAAGCATGAAGTTGTTTAGGTTTAAGACCTTGGATATTTTGACTCTAACAAGACTCAAGAGTCGATATAGAGAGACTTTGACCATAGATCTAAGAAACATACTGTTTGTCCTTTTTCTATTGCTACGTGATCCACGGAGTGAAAAATGCTCAAGGTTTTGATTTTTGGTTTATTGCTACTAAATAAAGCAGATCAAAGTTAATGAAGTGGATTTCAATTCTTAGTATCCTTAATTACTTTTGGGTGATGAAGACACACTTCCAAACCGTTCCAAGTAAAGTCTGTAGATCTCTGTTGATATTAGTAATGTATGTACCTGTTTGTTGGCGGTTGGGGGTTGGTAAGCTGGTGAGTGGCATATATTAGGATTTTTTTAGCTATTTCTCAATAACTAAAAGAAAAATTTATAAATAAAAAGTTGTCCAAACCTATGAGTAGTGCATGCAAATCAAAGTCCGAAGTATTGACCCTGAACCACACATCGAAATTGAAAGGGCCAAGTGCCCCAATTTTACGGTATTGATGCTTATGGACTGTAGAGCAAATAAACATGTACAGAAAATGTTCATTTTGCCGCCAGCTGATGTATGTATTACACATACATTGACTTTGGACCTTTGCTTCTTTCAAATAATACACTTGATTGTGAAAATTGATACCCAATTTGAACCACTTGATATGGTACCCACGTTTATTGGCCAGGCCTAAATCCAATGGATAGCAATGTAAATTCTTCCTGCTTATTCAGGTTTGTTTTCCTTCTTTTGTTTTCGTGACATTTCTCTATGGGTGCAGGATATTTCATGCATTAAAGACTTAAATGCACTGTATGAAGCTGCTACTGTTGAGGATGTATACATGGCATATGAACATCTTAAGGTAGATGATAATTCTTTGTTTTCATGTATTGGAGTGGCTGGAGCTCAAACAGGCGAAGATGCCTCTGGTAAGTCATCTAAGTCAAAAAAAATTCTCCTTTCAACATATATCTTAATATGCTGGGCTGTTTAGTGTTTTATATTTGAAATTAGTTTATTGTTTACTCTAGTTGTACCACAACATTTTTTGCTACCTACTAGTGTATTGCTCTTTTGCATGAGAAAGCAAAGTATTACAATGCCGGTAAACATTAATAATGTTTACAAGATTTTATTCAAGGTGAGCATAACTCAGTTCGAACTGCCTAAACAGACTAAACTGACACAATTTACCAGTTCATTTCATTTTTGTATGTCGATCTGTCGGGTTTGGAATGAAACAATCTCAAACTGTACCAAATGAACACATATTGCCCTTATGTATCACGATGAGTGGAGAAGTCTTGAGCTCCTTTGGGGCAGTACTGCTATGTGCCGCCTCCTGTTTATACTCTTGGTTCAGGAAAAAACCCGGAGTGCCCTACTTTCATCACCAGCTGGCCATTTTATCTTCCTGCAGCCGCAAATTTCCTTTGCCTCATCCTGACTCTACAGCTCTGCTTCCAAAGCAAACTTTTTTCTTCTTTCTCATTCCTCTCTCCAGTAAGAATTGAATGTATTGAGGCAATAGTAGATTTTTTTGGTCATCCGTATATTATTTTGCTTCGTATATCCTACTGCAGCAGATGAGAAATAGTGGCAAGAAGGCTTTTTCGAGTACCGATTGGGACATTAAAATTTTAAGGGTAATATTTTTTTCTGCGAAGAATTTGTCCGTGGAAACTGTTTGATCTTTGCTTCAAGAGTCAATATTTCTCACAGCTCTCAGCGATCTTCTAGTTGATTTGTCTCTTCTCTATACACACACGCGCGCGCACACACACACACATAGATGCTAGCTTTAAGATTTATTGGTTAAAGTTTCAGCCTTTTGTGATTGACTGGGTTTATAGAGATTTTTCAGCATGTTGGATGTTGCGAGTGATAGATTCATCAGTTTATCAAGAGCATGACCTGTCAAAGTTTGCCAATCCTGATTTCACTATATTCCTTTAGGTGCTGATATTCCCTGTTTCTCAATTACTTTGATAGCACAAATTCATTCCGTGTCTGCACAGGGGAGTAAACTTTTGGAGAAGAGGAAGCCTTCAGTAACTGTTCAGACAAACCGAAAGGGCCCCAATCAAAATTCTACTTAAATTTCGGTTAAATAAATCTATATATTAAATAAGTGACTATTGACAAATAAAAACATCATAAGTGACAATTGACAAATAAATAAATAAAACGAGTGACAAATAAATAAATAAAATAAGTGACAAGTCAATCAACAAATCCAAAACTGACGGAACAGATTGATTGCCCAGCCCTAGTGTGAACAGGTCTGTGGTATATAAGTTCTATAGTCACTTTCTTTTCCTTTCACCTACCATTTTTTATATTCGTACTGTATCACTATCACCACAATCAATAAGTCTGTTTGCCCTTAAAAAAAGTGTAATGAGGATTGAATGATCCCACCCCAGTATGCCTACTGCTAATCTTTCAAGGGCTAACATTCTCTTCATACCAATCATCTACATAGATAGGAGGAGAATCATATATGATCTTACCTGCATCATATCAGGCGCTTAGTTTTCTAATCCACTTCAGTATATTGTTTTTTGAAGTAGTCCCCCCCCCTTCTTTTTCGTTGGTTTTCCCCTCTTTTTCATTTTTGTGGACCTCACTATGATGCCTTACTGGTAAACAGGAGCAATAGATGATGTTACAGATATTGGAGAGCAAGGTTTTTCTCCCATTGGTCGTGGCTTATCGACAATGACACGGCCCACAGCTTGATTTTATACAGATATTGGCAATTTTTTCCTTTTCTTTGAGGGGACCTTGACCACATGGAGGTATGTTCATCACGATTTTTGGTTGCCCTTATGCTAAATCATTTTGCTTGATCATATCTTATTAAACACACTATCTTCATAATAGATATCCTTCTGTTTTTTTAACATTATTCTTTGTGTTCTTTTTCTTTTGAATCATAAATAAACTTGGTAGTTATTATTCTGAGGTGATCTGAATAGATAACGGAACTGATGGGGGCAGGAGGAAAGGGTACAAATTTGTGTTTGTATAAAAAAAAATTAAAATTCGCTTTAATGTGTGCTTTAAAAGGTTAAGACAGGGAGTGGAATGCCTCGATTATGCCAAGAATTTCTTAAATTAAATTTTGTTCAGAGTCAGAACTTTGATACAAAGGCGTAACTTTTATGGATTAATAATATCTTCTGAGTATTTGATGCGTCAATAAGAAAGGGTGTAATTCTAGGGTCCCATATAAATTGTGACAACTTAGGAGAATCACAGACCACTGTGATAGTTAGTTAGCACCTATGTTGCACGGATACGGGTGCGGACATGGAAACGGGTGTGGGTACAGGACACGGAAAAATTGTGACAGTTAGGATACGGAGACGCGGCTGTGTACATACATATTAAATTTAATAGTCTATATGAGGTTGATATTGCTTTTCATTCACATGTTATGAGAACTAAAATCCTTATACAATTTTTTTTGTTTTTTTATCTAGTAGATTATAAATTGAAAAATCGCTTGATTTTGAACTAGAGACCCAAATGATCCTTAAAAATCATACTTATGAACTAGACATGTGCTAAAATGGACCTGTCCCGAGTCCGATGAGTTGCATAAACTTGAGGTGAAGTGTATGATATATGTTCAAGAAGTATATCACGAATTTTTTGAATTAAAGTGTGTTATATAATTGACTACATGTCTGAATAAATGTATGTATACATTCAAGAAGTGTCCAAGAAGTGTCCAAGGAGTGTCAGACAAGGAGATGGACACGGGAGCCTAGATGAAGTGTCCGGGTAACCTAGGTTAGCACTTTTCCCTACCTGGAAGTAGGTTAAACAATCTAAGTTTGTTTCTATTAGGTAATATTATTTAATTGAATTCCTTATATCAAGAGGGTAGGTGTGAAGGGCTGGCCTACGAAGGGGTTGTATTTCCAGATTATCTCTACTTTTTATTCTTCTTGGTGGTGATTTTCTTCCCTCTGTGTGCAGCATGGTGTGTTTTGCCCCCCCCCCCCCACCCCCCCCACCGCCCCTGGCCGCGGGGTGGGAGTGTTGGATAACTGAGGTGCAGTGTATCACACAGGCAACATAAGATTTGCTTCAGGATTCAGGGGAGGGATGTGGCGAGCTCCATCTTGATCTCTGAAGCTCAGTAGGGCATGGAAGGGGCCTCTGAAATTGCCTTATCAATTTTAGTGAGCATATACTGGTTTTCCGTATACTGTAATTGCTCAAAGTTCTGCTCTCAGAAGCTGCAGTTCTTGTGTACAGCAGTTGCTCACAGTTAACCATGTTAGTTGCTGAAAAGAATCTAGATAGTTTTGGCTTTTTGCTAAATTTAGGGAATAACTTGGCCAGTATCACTTTTTGTTTTGATATTTGGGCTTCGTAAGAATGCAGTTCATATGAATAATAGCTCTTGCAAGCCCTGGGGGCCTAAGTAGACCTTTGAGCACCTGTTTTATTACAAAAAATGTTTTTAGCAGCTAAATTTATTTGTAGGAAATTTTCTTCTATGCCTGCCAAGTTTGAAGTTTGAAGTGATCTCCATTGTTTTACTAAAGGTTTTATTTATTGGAAATAAACCCCAATTTTAAACTGAACTGAAATGTGAGAGAAGAGAGAGAAGGAGATATAGACCAGACCTGGCGCTTGCCACTTCTTCTTAGTGTTAAAGGTCCAGAAGCTGCAGCTACAGCTGCTTAGCCTCGCAATTCCCTTGCTTGAGTTTAGAAAAATGAAGCTTAGTACAATGGAGCTAATAACCAGGCTTAGATCAAATCTCACTCAAGAACTGGGTTTGGGGTGCATTCAAGCAATAAAAATCCTGTTCAGTCTGAAACGAGATACTGCTAATTTTTTAATTAGCAGTTGCTCAGGTTAGTATCAAAATGGTGTGAAGCTAGATCTGACCTAAATTAAACCTATTTTATAATGTTTTGCATATAAAACAAACTAAAACTTTTGGCATTACCTCCCTCAATTCACGTTATAATGTTCATTTGAAATGATAATTAAATTCTATCATTTAATATTGTTGTAGATTGAAAGTAGAAGTGGGGGAGATCTACATTTATCTTACAAAAGTATTTCCATCTAAAAGACAACAAAAAATAGACCTACATACTCGAGTGGTCCCCTGGGTAATCTAGTTATCAGCCATCCACCTAACATCCTTCTTCATTTGCATTATATAGTTTTAGCGTAATGTTTAGGATAACTGCTGATATAAGTAGCTAAAAGTGGGAAATTCGAGAGCCTGCAAAAGGAGTCAAGCACTAGAAAAGGGCTCAAGGTAATGAACTTGTGGTGGTACAAAGATGAGATGGTGGTTGGGGTTACCACACGGAAAAGGTGGAGCAAGCACTGAAGATTGATGAAGAGTTTGTAAGGAAAGGAAGCGGAAGATGATGTGAAATTGAAGAGTTAATAACAGAAAGGAAGGAGGTTAATTTGTTATTATTGTTGTTGTTTGTCTTTGTGTAGATGCAAGGTGCTCACGGTGGTGTGATTGTTTTTGTGTTTTTTCTTTTTTGGGTTAGGTATTTTCTCGTGTGTTTGTGTATTCGTGTGCCTGTGGTGAGTTTTGGTGAGGACGGAGAATTTTTGAAGGAAGAAGCTTTGAGTATGACCCTTAACACAATAATAATATCCGCAAACCTGTTAATCTATCGTTAATTTGTTACTATCCAATAAAAAAATCTGTTAAGAGAATTCAAAAGGCTAAAAGTTGATAATAAATATAGATAGGCATATAGCAAAACTATATGGACATAGCAGACCTTCCTGAATCAAATTAATTAATTAAATTTGAGAAATCAAATGAAGCTTGTTTACTTGAGATTGAACAGTCCTTCAGACGTTAAGAAGAATAAATGAGTTTCTCATTGCTGTCCTTTTGTACAGGTCCATAGGAAGGAATATCCAGCACGGGCGGTTTTATAACTGGCAGAACTTCATCTGATTTAGGGCACCTAAAAAATTAGGCAGCAGGTTGTTGGACGATGGGAGAAAAGCTAGGTCCCTATCATCAGAGGTTTGCATCAGAGGCACATCCTCATTCTGCCCATTTGTTGATGAATTTATGGAATCTTTTTACTAAGAGTTTCCATGTTGTATATGTTGGTCCAATGATATCATCTTAGTTAAGAAGACTAGAGAACATAGTGCTAATATAGAAAAGAAATTGAAGCTTTTGAAGAGTTGAAATGAGTTATAGGGAGATATTTTTCAGACCAGATAAATCATTAGTCAGGCTGGTCAGATTTAGGAGATTGATGTTCACCTTATGAAAGCGGGATGATTTAAGTGGACAATATTTCGACTTTAGAACACCCCTAACCAGTAATTATTTGATTTGATTCATTTCCAGCCCTAACCACAGCCAATTAGGTCCCTATCATCAGAGGTTTGCATCAGAGGCACATCCTCATTCTGCCCATTTGTTGATGAATTTATGGAATCTTTTTACTAAGAGTTTCCATGTTGTATATGTTGGTCCAATGATATCATCTTAGTTAAGAAGACTAGAGAACATAGTGCTAATATAGAAAAGAAATTGAAGCTTTTGAAGAGTTGAAATGAGTTATAGGGAGATATTTTTCAGACCAGATAAATCATTAGTCAGGCTGGTCAGATTTAGGAGATTGATGTTCACCTTATGAAAGCGGGATGATTTAAGTGGACAATATTTCGACTTTAGAACACCCCTAACCAGTAATTATTTGATTTGATTCATTTCCAGCCCTAACCACAGCCAATGATGGACATCAAAAGATGGAAGAATATAAGTCTGCTAACTCTATATAATGGTCAATGTGGTGACATTAATTCTTGTTTATAATATTAGAGTTGAGGCTAGCTTGCGTTGTTTTAGATCCACTCAGGGGTGGACCCACGTGGTGGCCCAGGCGGCCTTGGCCCCATCTTGCCCAGTAAAAAAAAACAGGAGGTACTAGTTATTTGCAAATGCTAAATTGAGGGGGGCTACAACATAAAGTGTCTGCACTAAAACAAAACTCACGTGAGCTTCTTATCGTACAGGAAGCAACCAATAAAAAAGAGCTTTTTAGATACTGGTCCCTTAAATTGTTACTATGTTGACATAGCTTCAAGGTCTTCATATTTTGATATCAGTCCCCTAAATCACTTTTATAGTCTATTACTTCTCTCTGTTTTTGGTGCTGTAGTAAGTGAATATCATGATATTTCGCTTCAAATAACTTGAGTTGATATTGCTGAGTACTTCAGAGATTTGTCCCTCGCAATCGAGTTTTTATAAGGAATTTTGATCGATTTTCTCAGGGACTAATCACCAGCTTCAATTGCAATCCCTCGTAACTGAGTTTTTCTCAGGAACTTCAATCACGAACTCTAGAGATCATCTCAGCTCTCCTATGCTCGTGGTTCGCGTTTGCTCCACTTCCAGAGATTAACTCGTAGTGCAATCCCATTGAGTTTTCTAACTTCACACTTGTACTACTGATTAACTTTATAAATACCTAATTGATCTTTAGGATTTCTAAAATTTTGCTCTTTTGATTTGTCTAGTTTTCCCTCTTTGGTTTTGTCTATTTTCCCCTGTTTGAATTTATTTAAGTTTTAGCCTATTAGGGTTTTTTCAATGACATGACACGTCCATCCCATACATGATCGCTCAATTCAATAGTCTCAGACAATTTAAGAATTACTTTGTTATTGTTTTGACTCTTGCAATAGAAATAAGCTAAGATGTCATCAAATATTCAAAGCCTATTAATTGTTTCCTCATGGTTAATTCAATGTGCATTTAATTGAGGAACTACACGTAGTACTATAGCCATATTCACAATTCGGCAGTAGTACTGGGGTTCTATCTGCAACAATCAAACTAGAGGATTTCTATCCACAATCCTGCAGTAATTATGTGGTGAAAATTCTAAAATAACCTTAAATATATGTGTATCTTGTTTAGCTATTAAATTTCTTGGGGCCCCCTTCATAAAATTCCTGGGTCCGCCACTGGATCCAATGGAGCATATATTTGTGCTCTTAAATCTCTGCAGATATGTGCCTTCATTCTATAGTAGCAGGCATCTTTTTTGTTTCACTCATTCATTCACATGTATTCTCAAAATTGCTAGGACATCTGAATTCCCCATAGGTTCTTAATACATGGGATTGAATTAACTGTAAATGATGTGAATCAATTGTGATCTGTTCGACCTTCTTAATATTGCAGGTCTCAAAATTGCTAGGACATCTGAAGCTCTCTCGTGCAGTTTTGAGAGGTTGTACCTGTAACCATCAGCGGCAGCGGCAGCCACAATTAAGGAACGAGTAGCGATTTTCGATATTGTTTGCTCTTACCATTTCCGACTTATACTAGTTCAATTAGAAGGCGTTAAATAAACAATTTTTTTCTTGTAAATTATTCAAGTTCAATAGCAGCAATCTGCTTCATATTCTGTCAATTTCTATTTTTTAGCAATGCAATAGATGGGAGTGCAAAAGCTGAATAATGTTATTGGTAAAGATAATTAAAAATAAAGGTATTTGGTGACTTGCGTTACCCCTATAAATTGTTGCTGAAAGATATTTTGATTTTCGGATTTCTGGATTACGATTTTGGACAGCAGCGCTTAACTCGGAGTGACATTGTGTTTTTATTCTCTTTGGGTAACTGTCATATTTGTGCAGT